CCCCTTTGATGGAGTTATGCCCCTTTGTGCAAAATACTTGTCCGTGCAAATACTCCTTAACTAACAGGTGGATTTCATTGAAACTTTGCATGAATGATTTGTATCTTATGTAGTGGTGCACTGGCATTTTAATTTGGAATTTCAACCCTTTTTTGTGGAGTTATGCCCCTTTGTGCGAAATACTTGTTACTGGTGGGAGACTATATAGCTTTGCCTTAGTAAGCCTTACAGCTTACAGTTCTGGTTTATATAGGATCGGGGGTATTAGTTAGCCTTTAGCTTACAGTTCTAATTGTGATCTGGACCATTACATAGTTGTTGTTGATGAATTTAACTGTGATTTTCTATCTGCGTAAGGAGGAGGAAGAGGAGGAAGACCTGGATGAGGATGAAATCAAAGAGTTGCTGGGTGAAGATTTCGGCCAGTCTGGTGACCTGGAGTTTGAGGATGATGGTTATATTGAACTTGTGTTAAGGATTTTGGGACTCATGTGTGACAATCAGTATCGTGACCTACAGGATTACTTGCGAGAACAACCGGACAATATAAAGTCTGCTAACTTAGTGGCAGAGACAACGCGATTTCTGGACATCTTGTACGGGAGCGTCAACGACAAATCCATGGCGCTCATATGCCAGCTATTTGATACACTTGTGGAATTCTGTTCGGTAATTATCCAACTTTTTGTCACTATTACATCACACTTTGACTACACTTGAAATTGTCTTCCTATTATTATTACTGAATGAACTTTCTATATGTTTATATTATTGGTTTAAACTGTATAGAACTTCTTCGGCCTTTATTTTTTTTTTGGTGGGGGGGGGGGGGGGNTTAATTCATGTTCAAAGAACATCCCAAACTTACTGAAATGTTTTCTTTCAATTTCTTTTCTCAACATTAAATTTACTATTGTTGTGGTTACAGGGTAACTTTGCCAACCAGGCGTGCGTGTTTGACAACAAGATCTGTGACTACATGAATCACATCCTAAGAATGGGTGTTTTCAAAGGATGCAGTCAGATGGAGGTATGCCAACTAAGTTCTACCTTTAGTTAGCCATTACTTGATAGTATATATCTACCTATTAGTCACCTAGCTAGGACAAGTCCTGGACCCAAGTCAGTCTACAGTTTCACATCAAACTAACTGCAACAAGAAATTGTCTTCAGTTTTTCAAAATAATGGATATGTATATATTTTTACAATACAGGAGAAAGTCTACCACATCAAGTACTTCAAAAACTTTTTTTTCACATAACCCTTGATCAAGAATTTAAATGAAAATCATATAATTTCTTGTGACCGCAGCCTGTCCAAAAGTTTTCAAACAAATGTTATAAAAAATGTTTGTTAAAAACAGTTATCATACAAAGATTTGCATTATTTATTAGTTCACCTGGTCCAAAGGACCAAGGTGAGCTTATGCCATACCGTGGCGTCCGTCGTCATCCGTCCGTCATCTGTCGTCCGTTCGTCAACAATTTCTTCAAACGACTTCTACTTCTTAACCCCTGATTGGAATTTAACTAAATTTGCCTGGAAGCATCCTTAGGTGGTGGGAAATCAAAATTGTACAATGGGTGGGGATGACCCCCCCGGGGGCTGAGGGGCGGGACCAAAAAGGGTTATTTGGCTATATTGCTTTAAGCGACTTCTTCTCTGGAACTAAGAAATGGATATCAACCATATTAGACTGGAAGCATCCCTAGAAGGTGGGGATTCAAAATTGTACAAATTGTGGGGCTGAACCCCCCGGGCTAAGGGGTGGTGCTAAAAAAAAGTTTATTGCCTGGAAATGGTTGAGATCCCCACCATATAACCACATATACAATTGCTGATTTAAAGAGAAGAATGCACATTTGCTTCCAGGATGGCCCTAGGGTTTGGCCCGCAACTTGGAAACATAGTCCTTAGGCCATAACTTTAAAACTGCTGAGATCCCCACTCAAAAACTATATATACAAATGCTGGTCATAAAGAGACGAATGCAGTCCCAATATTAGAATAGACCCTGGGGTCTGACCGAACCCCTAGGGACCTAGTTTCTTAGTCCCAGCTTGGAAACAGTTGAGATCCCCATCCTATAACCATATAGACAATTGCCGATTACAAATAGATGATCATGAATGCACATATGCTCCAAGGATGGCCTTGGGCACTGCCCCACCCTTAGAGACTTAACCCCTGGGTCATAACTTTGAAACGGTTGAAATTCCTCCCTCAAAACTATACATACAAATGCTGGGTAAAAAGAGACAAATGCAGTAATGCTATCAGAATTGACTCCAGGGGTTGCCCCATCCTTGCAGACTTAACCCCGGGGTCATAACTTTGAAACGGTTGAAATTCCTCCCTCAAAACTATACATACAAATGCTGGGTAAAAAGAGACAAATGCAGTCATGCTATCAAAATTGACTCCAGGGGTTGCCCCTCCCTTGCAGACTTAACCCCTGGGTCATAACTTTGAAACGGTTGAAATTCCTACCTCAAAACTATACATACAAATGCTGGGTAAAAAGAGACAAATGCAGTCATGATATTAGAATTGATCCTGGGGTCTGGCCACAACCGTAGGGACCTAGTTTCTGAGTCACAACTTGGAAACAGTTGAGATCCCCACGCCATAACCATAAATAAAATTGCTGGGCATGAAAAATTGAATACAGATATATATGCTACAAGGATTGGCCTTAGCGTCTGGCATATTCCCTTGGACCTCATTTGGAGAATATTCTGCTATGATTGCTTAGATATCCAGGTGAGCGATACAGGCCCTATGGGCCTCTTGTTAAATTCTGTTTCAACTTTTGCAAGAGTTATAGCCCTTTGTACCATAGATTTTTTTCCCCTGGTCTTGCCATAACTCTTTCTTGTGATAATCATAGATTGATGCATTGGTATCTGTAAATCATACTCAAAAGAAAATGAAAACTTAATTTGGCTAACAAGCTATTTACTTCAAAGTCAAACTGGATGTTATATCCGGTTTTTTCTGCAAGCTTAAAGATTGTTGTAGGGTGGTACAGCATTGTTGTTAGCCGATTCAGCATAGTTGTATTTTAAGCTGATTTATTATTGTTATTAACTGATTCAGCTTCCTTGAGGAATATAACTCTGTAAAATGTTCTGTAAGATATGGAACTGATCCATCTGGTGTGAACGATTTACTTACGCTTTTTTCCCCAGGTCTACACTCTGAAGATGTCAATTGCTACAGTCATTCGATCAATGAGTGAAGAAAACGCTCCCCAGGATTTCATTCAGGCAGAAAATCCATTCGCTACCTTAGCAAAGGTCAGATTATAGGAAATTTTGTTGTAGCATAAGAAAAGGGTGAAATATTTCATAAATCTTAAGCTTCGTCAGAATAATGTATGTATAGAGGAAAGTTTGGCTCAGTCAAATATTTGCCCTTCACCAGGGAAAACCATATTCACACATGCAAATTTCGCTCTTCACAGTTCATATATATATATATATATATGAACTGTAAAGAATTACTTTATAGAACATGCATTACATCTCCAGCACACACGCAGGCATACACACATAGGGAGATATTAGCCAGGTGGCATAGGACTAGTAGTTAGCGCCTGATAAGGCAGCTCCTGCGAATTCCTCAAAATTGTATTGATTAATGTATATGCTAATTGTATTCACTATCATATATCTATGTACTGTGAAGCGCTTTAGAGTGACTTATGTTAGCTAGATAGGGCGCTATATCAAATGTTGTATACTTATAGAGTAATTAAAGTTCTTTTCTAATATTCACTGTTTTGATAAATTCATCCTCATTCCGGAGGTTGAAATTTGCAGCTGCTTGCAAAACTTACCAAATGTTTTCAGCAGATATTTGAACATGTTGACTCTACATTACATATTCCAGCAGCGTGCATGGAACTTGGACCATGACACATGGTTTTAACAGTGATATCTGTTTGTATTGATGCTGGATTGAAGCTTGTTTCCACAAGAAGACAAGAAATATGGAAATGAATGAACAATATATTACATATTCATTTCTCACCATTCTGAAATAGATCCTCTGCAGTAAGTTATATATAATAATATAGGATCAGAAGGAATGATATTTTACTATATATTAATACATGTATGATATTTATAATGTTTGGGTTTTGTGTTCAGTTGAATGTAGAAAAGCTTCAATTTCCTTGCTGAATCGCTAACTGCAAGGCATCAATACTTTTTTGCAGGAAGTGATGGAGTCCGTTGATGAGATCATTCTAATGAAAACAGTCACAGACGCCTACACCTACATGCTGGTAAGTTACTACACAGAAACTCAGGTCAAAGGTCATGTCATTTTAATACCTAGTCGAAAATTCTTTGGAAAACTTCAATACATATTTCAACTCTCTTATTCCAAAATTGTTTATTCATAATGTATACATCATCTCTGTTTCCTGATTTGAATACTCCTCAGATTTGATTATTACTGTCAGATTTCATGGTCTCTGATTGGTCAATTATCCCTTCTTTTAGCCAAATATTTTATTATATGTATGTATACCCCTCACATGCCTGGAATCATGAGTTAAATTATACATGTAAGTAGAACATGTTCCGTTTTTGTGACTAGAAATGTTCTATCAGAGTGAAAGGGTTGGGAATTCAGATGTAATGTTCTCCAGAATAAGTACTTATTACTATAAACAGCCATTAATGTATCATTGAAAACATTTTACATTTAACTTTAAGAATCTTGAACAAATGTTTGGTTTTGTCAATTTTTTTGTCAATTTTTTTTGAAATACATACCAACTTGTACGAGAGAAAAATATGATTGTCGAACAAATCCTCTTTTTTTTTTACCTTTATGCAGAGAATAGGACAATTTTTATTCACTCATATTACGGTCACAGGGCACATATGTGTTCAAAATTCATTTGGCCTGAAAATTCCTTATTTGCAATAAAATTCATCTAAAATGCGTGTGTCTGGCACAAAACAAAATCATTTGATGACAACCTGCACTCCTTATTTCATACATCTTTTTGCTTGGTTTCAAAAATGTCACATTTTTCTGTCAATAGACTATGTACACTGTATGTCTATCATAAACACCAACAGATCTAGAGCTAATATAATAGCCTGACTTTGACAGGATTTGTTTAGCTCTGCTTTCATCAAAGCAGAGGCGAGGGTATATTTAGGTTTGATGTTTTACAGATATTATTGAGTTAAAATGTTTTTGTCTTTTTCAATGTCCATTTTGCATACCTGTAATGTAAATTTCATCATTTGAATTCATACAATTTCTTTCATACAAGGGGAATTGTAATTCATTCAATTTTGTTTTTGCAGGATTTGACTAAAAAATCTGCCAAAGAGGTAAATTGAAACATTTTATAACAGATGATCAAACATTTCCTTTGTAAACTTTACCAGTCAATTATTGACATCTGCATTCCTCATTGACATCATGTGGGATCAGCCAGCTGGGAAACCATGTTTTATAAAAAAAAATATTCATAAATCTTAAAAAATTAGCTTTTGTCTACATGTCCATCTTGGCAATTAGCCATTCCAGATCAATTTAAGTGTGACTTTTTATGGTTTATTTCAATTTTCATGTTTGATTTGGGTTACTGACCTATGTATTTCTTGTCACTTCACTTGTATTAAATGTAAATCCAAAATATGCATATACTGATTATATATTATGGTATACCATATAAAACATTGTACTAGTTTAATTATGTCCCAAAATTTATATGTTGACCTGCCTATACTCAAAGTTAATTTTTATTCAGCTTTAACTGGAAACACAGATATTCTGTATGTGTATTTGGCCTTCCTAACCCAAATAAGTACACTTTAGGACCATATAGAATGTATTTGGTAAAAGCTTGGTCTATATATAGCTATATGTCCTTTATTTCCAGAGAAAAGACGACGACTACAATGAGCTCTGTGATTTAGTACAAGATTGTGGTTTTGCCTATTTCCAAATCCTGCTCCGCAAACTGGCCATCGAGAAGGGCATGACCAAGGAAGGTATGGACCTGTTGCCCTGCTTCATGGCAAATGAATCAGCATATATGTCCGCACAGTAATCAATTCTAATAAAGTAGAACGACAGGGCTAACCATCTCAAAACTACAAGTGAAAGCTTCATACATTTTCATCTTTAAAAAATTTTCACAAGGAAATTACACTAGGAAAAAATCTATGTACAGTAGTATGTATTGTAAAAGATGAAACCAATAGCAATATGATTATATAAAAATGGCCAGTAGGAACAGGATAGACATAAATATCATCAATTCTGAGTGGAATCTTTTAATTTTTTCTTCAGTTTTTGTGAAAACTAAGTTGGACAAAGAAGCATGGGACTACTTCGATGCAGGAACCATGTCAATTGAGGTGATTAAAGGAGAGGATCTCCAGACCATCTACTTCAGGGTCAAGGACAAGGTGAGACTGATACGTGAATGTGCTTGTTTTATAACAGACTTTATTTAACATTTGACCTTGACCTTGTGTTACCTTTGTCCCTGACCTTGTGTTACCTTTAACCTTGACCTTGTGTTACCTTTGTCCCTGACCTTGTGTTACCTTTGACCTTGACCTTGTGTTACCTTTGTCCCTGACCTTGTGTTACATTTGACCTTATTTTTTTACTTTGAAATGATAATGATACAGTTGATCATATTTAATAATTTTGACGTTGTGATCTTATGTTACATTTGACCTTGACCTTGTGTTACATTTGTCCCTGACCTTGTGTTACCCTTGACCTTGTGTTACATTTGTCCCTGACCTTGTGTTACCTTTGACCTTATGTTTTACTTTGAAATGATAATGATACAGCTGATCTTGTTAAATAATTTTGACTTTGTGACCTTATGTTACATATGACCTTGACCTTGTATTTGTAACAAAGGTCAAGTTCATATTTATGGGAATTCCTCAGGGTCCCAATGTCAAGGTCACTGTTGCTATTTATAGATCAGCTACAGGGCCAAGGGGGCATTCCTTACAGAAATGTTCTTGACTCAGTTTTACCTTAAATTTGTTCTGCGTTACGATTGACATTAATTTTTGACAGAGTGTGCTGCGTGAGGACATCAAGGAGAAGTTCAAGTACGAGGTGGACCGGTCGACCCCCAGCAACAAGATTCGGGGCTTTATGGACTGGTCCAGTGACATCATGCAGGATATTAAGTACCAGCGCAAGGTCCTGGCAAACCCTGTCGGGAGAATCCTCATCAAACTCTGGTCAGTCTAATTTCAGTCTTCCTTTGTGGTTGTTATCAAATTGAATGTTTTCAAAAGTATCTCCACACTGATTGTCACAAAATTTTGTGCTTTGTCAAAAAAGTTCATTTGTTGCATATTAATTTATAATATCAAACTTCTTTACAGTTGAATATTTATTGAGAATATTTTGCCATGATTGCTTAAATATGCAGGTGAGCAATACAGGCCCTCTGGCCTCTTGTTTACAGTGCCTTATTTAGGATACATAGGATTATAAACCTGTGTATTTTGTATTGTTATCCCGCACCTTTAGAATATTTTTTTATGAAATTTCATAGATAAGTATAACGTGGCTGCCATGTGGCGTGTATACCACTCTCAGGTCTGTACACTAACCGTCAGTAACAATGAAGGTCAGGTAATGGCTAGGAGTTAAAGGTCTTATCATAATTCTCTTGTTTCTCCAGAATAAAATTAAAAAAAGGCCTAAAAGAAATAAACCTCATAGGTAGGTGTATCATACTTAATTAACAGTGTTGTGACAAGTACTTAGAAAAAACACCTGTCAGACGCAGATGGTGAAGGACGCAGTAAGAGGTAAACGTTCTAATTTGTAATTAATTGAACGCTGTCTTATTAGGTCAGATACAGTGTCGGTAGGAATGTATAATTTGGTAAACCATTTGATGACAGTTTACTGATTGAAACGTTCTGTGATGTATTGGCAGGATACCTATGAACTACGCCGCTTTGTTTCTGAGTATATTGATCTGTGCAGTCATCATGATCACATGGCGAGATCCCAAGGATGAGGAGGGCAATTCCGACACAAACAGGTAAGTCTGCCATACTAGCCTACTGGTAATGCAAAAAAAACACCAAAGGTTGCAAATGTTCATGGTTTTGCAGTTAAGGCATTTCACAACAACTCTCCTACAAATAAATCGAGTACATTTTTATTTCTGGATTCAGGGAAGTATAAAACAGCTTCATAAACATAGATAGAAACTTACGTCAGACATGAATTGGTATTTGCGATGTGTGTGTAAACATCAAGTAATATCAAATGACTTCCATGATACAGGTGATACCATATTGGAAAGATAAAAGAATCCGATTGGAATTTACACAGCAAACTTGTACCAAATAAAACTGAAACTCATACAATATAACATGATAGATGAGTATTTTGTCTTGTGAGTAAGATATATTTATAAATCCAATGAACCCCATATTTGGAGCCCGTTGAATACTATAAGACATGACATTGTTCTAAACTTGAATTTTGAAGATGTTGTAGTAAACGTGACAGTTTTATATTTCATCAATGATGACATTATATCATAGATCATGGTGATAAACATTGGATCGTTTAAGTTTTGTACCTTTTCTCATAAATCAGTCGAAGGATGCTAATTAGCGGTTTAACAAAACATGAAAATCGGCTGCAACTGTCTCCAATAATTTCATTATCAAACAGAAATTCATCGGTACGAAAACTAGTCCCCTAAGTATGGTGACATTTTTAACCACCTGACATGCATGGTTTGTTTTGTAGCAAGGTACCAATCTTCAGCATTGACGAGGACATGTACTACTTCTTCCTGTATGCAGTGGGCGGAATGCACAACTTCCTCAGCGTGTGTATATACCTCACGTTCCTGCTCTCCAACAATCCTAGTTTTCCGCCCTGGCAGGGTTTCCTCAGGCTGATGTAAGTCAAGGAGATAGAAGATTTTTCGATGGATTCAGCAGTGTGATTTTCTGTTTATTCCCTAACTTGCAGGAGGTTATTTGATGACCCGTAAAGAAAATGGTTTTATGTCGGGGAAATCCAATTAGTATTAAAAATCACATGTCACCTTTTGCATAATGAGTCAGCTTTATATCAGTGCTCACTAGTGAAAATTTCACATTTTCCTAACTTCACTATAGCAACAGGTATAGTTTTCATTAAACTTATTTAACTCTTGCTACTTCACCTGTAAAAATGTATTATATCACTATTGACATGGATTCTGAAGAAGGATTTAAAGGAACCTCTGATTAGAATATTATATAATCTTTCCTTCATTGTATTAATACTTCTCTTTGAAGAAGCTCTACCGATACTCAAGTGTCCATGACCCTTCAATTTCTGTACCATAAAAACCACTGACCAATATACCTGTAGGATCTTAGACTCTTTCTGCATATTGTTTCTACTTTTATGGTGCCAAGGTAATATTCTACTGTTTTGTGTATTACAGCGGAAAGAGCAATGAAAAGGAGGAAGCATTTAAAACATGGAATGAGAGGAAAAACCCGTATGACACCAATAACCTTGAACTGAACATATACAGTGTAAAAGCCATGTACTATGTGGTATGTAAATTACCAGGACTGATGACTGTGTAACGAAAGGAATACTTGTCTAATTAGTTATGGACCTTGTGTGATGGTTAACAAGGTGTGATACGAACCTGAAAAAGTCATGTTTCAGGTTCATATCACATTGTTATATGCCCGTCAAATTTGACGGAAGTAAAATGGTATGGGGTTGTACGGCCGGCTGTCCAGCGTACACTTTTGTTTGTATGGCAATCTCCTCCTTCATTTTTCAACCGATCTCTTTGAAACTTGGTATACATTATAATCATGATTTGAAGTTGTCTCCCTTAAAAGAATTTTGATTCAACGATTTTTGCAAAAGTTATTGCCTTTGTTCATATCAGTATTTGATTTTTTGTCCGGAGATTTTCTCCTTCATTTTTAGCTCACCTGGTCCGAAGACCAAGGTGAGCTTATGCCATACCGCAGTGTCCGTCGTCCGTCAACTTTACACTACTAGTCATGAACCACTGAGCCGATTTTAACAAAATTTGGTGTGGTGCATCCTTGGGTGAAGAAGAACAAATTTTGTATAAATGGTGGGTCTTGCCCCCCTGGGGGCTGAGGGGCGGGGCCCAATAGGGGAAATGTAGCAAATTCTTTAAAATCCTTCTCCTTCTGTAGGAATGAAAGGATTTGTTCCATATTTGGTCTGAAGCATCCTTGGGTGAAAGAGAACCAATTTTGTATAAACCTTGGATCTGGCCCCCAGGTGCCTGAGGGGCAGGGCCCAATAAGGGAAACATAGCAAATTATTCTTTAAAATCCTTCTTCTTCTATAGGAATGAAAGGATTTGGTGTGGAGCATCCTTGGGTAGTGGAGAACCAATTTTTTATAAACCATGGGTCTGGCTCACCAGGGGCCTGAGGGCGGGGCCCAATAGGGGAAACATAGCAAATTATTCTTCAAAATCCTCCTTCTTCTGTAGGAATGAAAGGATTTGGTCCATATTTGGTCAGAAGCATCCCTGGGGGAAGGGAAACAAAGTTTGTATAAATGGTGGGTCTGGGCCCCTTGGGGGCTGAGCAGTGGGGCCCAATAGGGGAAACATAGCAAATTATTCTTTAAAATCCTTCTTCTTCTGTACGAATGAAAGGATTTGGTCCATATTTGGTGTGGAGCATCCTTGGGTAGTGGGGAACCAATTTTGTATAACCCATGGGTCTGGCTCCCCAGGGGCCTGATGGGCAGAGCCCAATAGGGGAAACATAGCAAATTATTCTTCAAACTCCTCCTTCTTCTGTAGGAATGAAAGGATTTGGTCCATATTTGGTCTGAAGCATCCTTGGGTGAAGGGGATCCAATTTTGTATAAATCAAGGGTCTGGCCCCCCAAGGGCCTGAGGGGCGGGGCCCAATGAGGAAACATAGCAAATTATTCTTTAAAATCCTTCGTCTTCGGTAGGAATGAAAGGATTTGGTCCATATTTGGTGTGGATCATCCTTGGGTAAAGGGGAACTAATTTTGTATAAATGGTGGGTGTGGCCCCCCTGGGACCTGAGGGGTGGGGCCCAAAAGGGGAAATAGACTTAAATCTTAAAAATCTTTCTTCTTCGGTAGGAATGACAGGATTTTGTCCATATTTGGTCTAAAGCATTCTTTGGTGAAGGGGAACCAATTTTGTATAAACAGTGTGTCTGACCCCCTGTAGGCAGAGAGGGAAAATAGAGGTAAAACCTTTAAAATCCTTCTCCGACCATCGGGATTTAGGGATTTTATCCTTATTTAGTGTGGAGCATCCTTGGGTGACGGTGACTCAATTTTGTACAATTGGTGGGTATGATCTCCGTAGGGGCACAGGGTTGGGGCTCTTTTTGAAGTTTGTTTCTTATATCTCAAGTACTGGATGGATCTTTCTGAAATTTCATATGTACTTACAGCACCTACCATGGAGTGCTACAGTTGTGGGATCGCACAACGTTACACGATGTGCGGTGTGTGCACGATGTGTGCACGGTGTGTGAACGGTGTGTGCACCATGGGCGCACATCTGTGCGCACGATGGACGGACGTTGTGCGATAACAATCGTGGTTGGTGTAAATTGAGGAATGCCTTAACAATTTATACGGTTTCGTGTTTAATCATATAAACTTGATGTTTACGTATGTTTCTATATTCTAGCAACATCTATAAACTTATCTTTCTGTCTATACATTCTTATATTTAGAAATTGTGTTTTCTGTGTTTTTAAACAAACTTAATCGACACATGTAAAATTACAACACAATCCCGTCTACAGGTAAACATAACCACTTTGTACATGTACCTGGACCCAGGGACAGTATATACATCCCTGCTGGACTGTAGTTTTCTCCTCGCCTGGGGCACTTACGTAACTCGTCGGTCAAGGCTGGGGGTGTGAAAATCCAGGTGAAGGGGAGCTATAGGCAAACGAATGCAAATAACAAATACTATGCATTACGGTCAAACGGTATCGCATATCAGCTCTGTGTGTCAGGCACTGGTCAGGTAAAACTCCGGACACTCATCAAATTGTTATTTACCTGTTCTGTTAACTTGGAGCCAAACCCATTCTTGACAGCCTAACGGTCGCTGTAATACTGTGTAACACGCATTGTGAAATTGTATAATCTTGATTATTGAGATGAGAAATTACAGACATATACACAGTGTACATTATCGCATACAAGCCTTCCGTATTTTTGTCATTCCGTAATTTTGATCTACAAATGATACCAAACCGCACAGTTGTGCGGAGAGAAGCGCACAACGGGGCGAACGATTGCCATATCGCACAGTTGTGCGCACCATGTATGAACGATGTGCGGACGGTGTGTGAACGATGTATACACGGTGTGCGGACGCTATTTTTGGTGCGTTGTGCGATCCCACAACTGTATATCTTATCTTCATACCAATTACTTTAATTATATTCAGGTGAGCGATACAGGCCCTCTGGGCCTCTTGTTTATAGCATGTCAGCTAACCACTCTAAGAATGATGCAGATTTTGTTTCAATGTAAGAAGGTATATAACACTATATGGCATTCGTCGTGCGTATATTGTTCCGCCCCGTGGTACTCTTGTTTTTAATAGTTTATAATATTCATTGATACATGGAATACCATGGTTTAAGGTCTCTTAATAGGAACTTCAGGGTTAACTGTCAAAAGTTCAAAACATTGGTGTAGCCTTATGGGGAAATTATATTCCAGACTCTAACTAGGGTATACTATCTCTTCACACAGGATTTTGAAATTTTAGAAGAAATGTCTTCCCCTTAAGTTAAGACTATTTATAAATTAATCCTGGAATTTTACAGATTCAATGGTCAATTGGATTGATATTTTGAAGTAGCACATCAATTTTACAGATTCAATGGTCAATTGGATTGATATTTTGAAGTAGCACATCAATTTTACTTAATAAAGTGAAATTTGTTTTCTTCATCTTCACACATATAAGTACAGAAATAAAGATAAGAAATGGCGTGTATAAAGGTTACAGTAGCCTGATGCCAGGTAATCAGTGAGCTATATATATGTTTCAGGTGTTTGTGGCCTGTTCTATACTGGGAACGATTTACTATGGATACTTCTTCTCCTTCCACCTGCTCCACATCGCTGAGCTGAATCAGCTGCTGAAACGAGTCATCCAGGCCGTCACCACCAATGGTAAGTCCCAACACGAACTGAACTATCGGGGGGATTGAATCTGCTCAAGCGACCATCTGTTTTATGCGATTACTTTTCATTCCTCCCGACCTATTTTACTATGTAATTTAACTGTATTAAGCGACCATCTGTCTAACGCAACCAGCGACCACCCAATGCTGGCCCCGAAATTATGTTAAAGGACCACATTTGATACATTTTAGCGACCATGTTTTGACAAAAATATACCACTTTTACTCCAACAGGGATGTCACTGATGTTGGTCGCCTTGCTTGGTCTGGCAATCATGTTTATCTACTCTCTGGTCGGCTTTGCCTTCCTGCGAGAGAGATTCTTCAAGGAGGACGAAGGTCGGCACTGTCGTACGGTGGCCCAATGTTTCATCACCATCACTCATCACGGCTTTGTGGACGTGCCCTACACTGTAAGTAACCTTTGACATTCCTCTAGACTGATACCTGTGTAGTGGAGGGAGACTCTGGGGTACTGCCGTTAGTATTTAGTAGTTCTTTTTCTTCCAGTAATTGCCTCCATCAACAGGTTGATGCTTCTGCAATATGTGGCAGTTTCGCATGTGACAGGACTGACACGGTTAAAAAAAAGTTTGTAAGTTAAAAACAGGATAAAAGAAGCTTTAAGGGTTTCAGAGCTTCGTCACTCTGGCCTTGAAGGCCGAGAGTGTGGTTGCATCCGTGATGTCTGGTGGTAGGGCGTTCCAGTCATGTACAGTTCTAGGAAAGAAAGACATCTTTCTTGAATCAGTCCTGCAGGTAAGAAGTTGGAAGGATCTGATGTTGGTGTTTCTGGCAAGTCGTCTTGGTGGTAGCAATCTGTTTTCTTTAGTTGAGCATGGATTTAAAAGTAGGCCAGTTTTTACATCACTAACAAGTACCCCATTGGTACTATACCAGACTTTCTGTTGGCACTTTGTTCGTCGGTCAGTCTGTCCTTTTGTCTACGGCATATCTGATTGATATACCGAATGTATTTGGCAAATATTGTATGTGTCTCTTGGGATGTTGGAGTTTTAGGGACTGAAATTGGGTCTCATGTCTACGATATACAGTACAACTGTCACTGTGCCTCGTATATCCTTATTAATGTCACCTACAGTTGCCAACTTAGGTAAGCAAGTACCTCTTGGTTTGGCAAAGTATTGCACACTGATATACTGTATCAAGTTTGTTCTGAGGTAGGGGACTTAGTATTGCTAACTATTTCGCCCTCTAGTACCTTTGTCTGTTAAGTTTTCTTTTCAATATAAACCTATTTTGAGGCTTGTCATAATTCCAGCATTGTATTAAAAAGGAATCCTTCCCTTGTGCCAAGTTAATTCAAAATTTGCCTCGTCTTGCATACAAATGAAGAAATATTTGTGTATTTCCCTGCAGACATTTGAGGGTGCCATGGACAGCGATATCAACGATGTGCTAATGTTGTCTGCAATAGATGTGACCTTCTTCATACTCATCACCACCATTGGCCTGAACATCATCTTTGGTGTCATCGTCGACACCTTCTCCCAGCTTAGGGATTCCAAGGTAATGTCCATATCATTTTCCGCTGACATAGGACTGGGTAGTTTGCAAGTGACCAGACAGTAAGTTAGAGGGTCTTTGTTCAAAGATCACTCTAAATACATATACTATTCGAATCCTCTTTCCAAAAGGGTTCAGCTCTAAGAAATAAGTTTATTAATATTTCAATTTTAAAAATGTATTTAATAAATGATAAAGCGGACTTGATTGATTGATGAGACATTTGAACGGTACACAAGAATTGATGACACCTTTTAGAGGTACACAAGAATTGATGACACCATTTAGTGGTACACAAGAATTGATGACACATTTGACAGGGACACAAGATTTTATGACCCATTAATATTACACATGTACAGGTACTGGAATATTTGGTTGCCAAGGTTATTACCTTCATGCATTTGACAGCAGTAGGAATTGATTTTCTATCCTAAATGGAAAACATTTGTGTTAATTCAGTAAGCTTTATACTAGAAGCCAAAACCTGTAACACCAGGTAGTACTTTTTCGGTAAGTATACATTTCGTAATTTATTGATTATATTGAAAAATGACTGAAGATTGATTTGTATTGTAGTGGGAGATTGACAAAGACATGCAGAACAACTGTTTTATCTGCAGCAGAGAGAGCTATGACTTTGAGCGACAGGGAAAGGTATTTGATATATTATTACAGCTTATTTAACAGCTTTGGTATGTTCTTCCGTCTGGACCCAGTTATTAAAAAGTCTACCTGGGTTATTCCCTTAACAGAAACTTAATGTAAAACTTATGTCTATAAATATATATATATAAATACAAAAAATGGATTGAAATCAGCAAAATGATACAAACATTTAATAATCATCACTTTAGTTTCTGCCAGGCACTGCTGGTTTCCTTGATCTGCTCCTGCCAAATTTTCAAGGACAGCCTCAATCTCAATCTCAAAAATTGAACAGTAAATGAAAAGGGCCTTTATATATTGTACATGTTGGTTTGTTGTGGGATAGTTTTGCACGTTTTGATCTGTAGGAACCCTTCAGTCAATTATGTTCCGAGTGGTTTGGACTTTTTTACCGATGTTAATGTGTTTTTTACAGGGTTTTGCAAAGCATGTGAAGGCAGAGCATAACCAGTGGGCCTACCTATTCTTCTTCATCCACCTGGACGAGACTCGGCCCAATGATTACTCTGCTCTGGAACTCCATGTCTTTAACATGGTGAGCATGTCTTTTTTTTTTTTTACCGTTAACCCTTTCACCGCTGTAGACCATAATGGACTTATCCATACCAGTGCATGGTAGAGTCTACTATAGTTACATAGGGGTGAAAGGGTTAAAGGAGAATTAAAGTTGTTTTACAATGCATGTGTGTCTGTCTTAGTTCGTCCTTATAGAACACGTGTCCCCTACAGGGTTAGGAACCTTGGGAACCTTCTAAAGAAGTAATCCTGCTGTCTCCCTCTCCATGATTGTAAATGGCCACTTATTATATATATATTGGTCCTTTTCAGAAACCGTAGTTTTGAGAACATGAAATTCACGGCAGTAACCTGATACAGCCATCATGCATGATATCTGTCTATTTACATATTGTGTCCAGATGCTAACTTCAGAAGTAATGATTGCACAAAGCTCAAACATTTTTATGTGGTCTATAGTCAAGGAACCCCCCCCCCCCCCCCCCCCCCCAAATGAAAGAGGAAAACCCGTATTGATTTTGGGCATAATTCATCAAATGTCAAGGTCACTGGTACTAAAAAAAATATAAGTTCTCGGAACTAATTATATGTCATAACTTCTTCTAATCACACAAAACTCGAACTTATTACATTGCCCTAAGACACAGGAAGAACCCAAACAATTTTGGGCATGGTTCATCAAAGGTCAAGGTCATTTTTACTTAAAAAAGATTTTTGTTCTGTCCTGACTTCAGAACAAATTATTTCACAAAGCTCACACATCTTATATCGGGTTTCTCTAGAGGAAGAATCCTAATCATTTTGGTGTAATTTGTTGATGGTGAGGGTCACTTTATATGATTTCCCAGCCACAGCTCCTTTCTATTAAACATTATTTTACATGCGTCAAGAAGAAATGTTGCTCAGGGTATATGCTGCCCCTGGTAGTGGTAGCTTACTTGTTTTCTTTAGCCAGATTTAAAGTTAAGTTTCCCATTCTCAACTTGTGAACTGACGTAAGGTATGTTCATTGTTCTCAACTTCATTGTTTTTAGCTGGACCTGAATCGCTTTGAGTTCTTCCCCCTGAACAGAGCTCTTTGCCTGCAGAGTGACAAGTATGACACAGATGAAATGATAGAACAACTGCAGTTATCTATCAGGGCACTAGATGCAAAACTCTCCAGTGAAATGATGCTGGTCGAGTTCATGGCCTCAAAGATCCGAGAAGATGTAAGTGTAATGATCAAACGTGTTTTATAGCACTGTGTAATGCCAGGTAGGGGATCTTACAATATATACAATGTAATACATACTCACAATACAATACCATACATACATAATACATTGCTGCTGTCATGTAGTGTATGTAGCATCTACAACTAGTCTGTTGAAGTTGTGCAACAATTTACCAATGCAAGGAAGTACTTATTCTAGATTTTACGGCGTATTTCTACATTAGTGGAAGACTGTAAGTTTTAATGACATCATTAAACTATATATCTGGTTAAAACAGGTGTATAATTCATTTAGTTTTAGAAAGTTAAATAAGATGTTTACCACATATATTGTATGTCTGTTGCAGGATGCTCAAAAGCTTCAAGAGAGAGAGAAGAAAAAACAGAAGGAGTGGGAGGCTAGTCAGAAAACTCCTCGCGAGTGAAATTGAACAAATAGGAACTGGAATTAAAGAAGTATGTGTGATTCAAAGAAATCCATAAGACGGGAGTTTTTAGGAAGAAGAAAACAACTATTCAAGGATATGGAACCAACTCATATATATGACCATCTAAAACAGAAATATAAAAACATGTTTTCAAATTTCAGAAATTTTAGAATTTAACAAAACTTAAATTCGGAGGCATTTAAAAGAAACTAAGAACATGGTGACATTATTGAAAAGTCTATCCAGTACCAGTATGATATCAGTACATTGAATATCAGATGCCATGGAAAAATAGGAGTGTGGTGTTCAACCTCCCAGTGAGTGCTTCACCTATGTACTGGAACTATTCCCAGTAGAAGCATATGTGTTGGCGGGCATTGTCCTCCCTCGTAAATGCTGTAAAGATGTATTCGCAAGACATTTGAGGTTTTTATCAAAAGTTTGCTGGAATTGTTTGTAACATGATCGTGTCTCATCCTACCACAAAATGACACTCTCCGGGATTGGTGTGTTATTGGATTACCATGGAAACGGCTTCAAGATCTGTTTGGTACAAACAAATAAACAGTTAAGGTTATGTTTAAAGAGTTTAATGGTGTCTAGTTTATATTATTTGGCAAAAACGTCACATTGAAGACAATTTTTATGACATGTTTTTTTTTAACACATTGTCCAAAAATTGGAAAAGAAAAGAAAAAGAAACTATAATGTCAAAAAATATATATGGCTATGTATGGTTTTTTGAACAGTAGAGACTTGAGCATCAAAATATTAGCCTGTATGACAAATAGATGTTGAGATGAAATCATCATTTTGATTTGGAGCATTATTGTCATGCTTGCTTTTCTAATATACAGACAGGTGGGTAGGTTTATACAGTAAATAATGCTTCAGTAATAATTTTCATGTTGTTTATATGGTGTAAGGTTGATTGGTTTTACAAGTACAGAGTAAGAACTCTGTAATTCAAAGAAGGTGAAGGCAGGAGCTGGACTTACAGTTATTTCAAATGAACAACATCATAATTTTTAATGTGCATTCATGTTTTCAAAGCACAGTTATCTACTGGTCCACCTGGAGTCATCATGTAAAAATGGAAATGTTTTGATTAAAATAAAATGTGTACTCCTTCTCACCCATCAAGCTAGTTCAAATATGGTTAAGACTCCCTGTACGGCTGCCAAGAACTGCAATTATGAATCGGAACCTTTTTTTTCACATCATTACTATATACCTTTGATAAATCATTTATGAAGAAAAAAAACAACGTTGTAGAACCTTTATGGAGAAAAAAAAAAAAAAATGAAAAAATGACAAAGTGCTACAGGGCCAGGACATCTGATTATTATACTGTCGTTTCTGCAGTGATATTCCAAAGGAAAATTAATGGGAGGTTACTGCATGGACAAAATCTACGGCGGAACTCTCTCAGTGGGACAGGGATCCTTAATAGTTTTAACTCGTAGAATGTATCATTGTCATAAATATTAACATGTTATGTCCATTGCATCAAAACATGTATAATACATACCAAAATTACATACCCATGAAATTAATCTTGTTTGTACTGGCAGAGATTTTCTAAATCCTAGATGGATTAGTTTTAGCAATAAACTCTGTTTTAAGGATATGTGCTACCTTACGTTTCTACCTGTGGTTTAAGTTACAGTTATCTCCCTTCAATCTTATTGGCATCATATTAACCTGAATTATCTCCCTTCAATCTCATTGGCATCATCTATATATTAACCTGAATTATCTCCCTTCAATCTCTTTGGCATCATCTATATATTAACCTGAATTCTCTCCCTTCAATCTTATTGGCCTCACCTATATATTAACCTGAATTTTCTCCCTTCAATCTTATTGCCATCATCTATATATTACCCTGAATTATCTCCCTTCAACCTTATTGGCATCATCTATATATCAACCTGAATTATCTCCCTTCAATCTCATTGTTATTGTCTATATATTAACCTGAATTTTCTCCCTTCAATCTTATTGGCCTCACCTATATATTAACCTGAATTATCTCCCTTCAATCTTATCGGCATCATCTATATATTAACCTGAAATATTTGAAGCATTATCAATGTGCCATCTCATGTAACTTTCAAATGAGCTGTCGGTTGATTTACAAAGCCCAATTAACATTCATAAAAGATATTTTACTGGGATTTCTTAGAATGAAACTCTTTTGAAATGGAGGTTTATGTCACAGTAATCATAGGTACATAGTATCTGTGCATAAAGGTAGCATATATCCTTAAGGGAAATGCATTTTTTAACTCAGGGGAGTCCATGATTAAACCATTTTTCAAAATCAAATCAACATTTGTGACGTGGATCATATTAATTGTTAAGTTTTCCATCACATTTACATCTCGGTGTTTCTGGTAGTTTCGAGTTTCATATAGAAAAGGCATTAGAAGTAGTACATTGTGTATTTGTTTCCATTGTACATGATTAAGTTAGGAGCTGGTACAGTACTGGGCCAACATGTATACATGACTGCAAATGTCTACAAAGGCAAAAGTTTATTAATTAGTACATGTATGTTACTTCAGAAATGATGACTGTTGCGAAGAGAAATCATAGAAAAAACTACCGGTACATTAAATTTTCTTGATGCTGGATTATCCTTTACAATATCAGATAATTTAACAGATTAGATTATTGTTCATTAAACTGTTTTTGTTCGTTTCAGTGAGTTTGTTTTCATTTATACATGAAAACAATGTTTTTGTCATTTTCTTATTGCCATATAAAGTGTACAAGATCAAATGACATGTATTTCAATCTTTGTTTTGCCTGTCTTTTGCTGTATTAATAAAGTAGTTGAATAGCCATCTGGTAAATAAAATTTATCATCTATTGTTATATATCCTATGTCATTCATCAGTCATTTCTCATCTGTTATATTATGTTTATTGACAACCTAAAGATTGATCTTTGTGGGAAAATCTTAATGATTGGTGTATAGTGTTATTCAGGATGTTAATAATCTTGGTTTGAAATGTAGCGCAGTAGATGAAGATAATTTACAAATATCAAGTGATAAAATGTCTGGGGAAGGAAAGTATAAAAATGAATAGGTGACATTTAAAAAAGAGCTGAATGTGATTTAATTCATTTTTCTCCAGACTTTTCTTTATGTAGGGAATAGCATGTTGCACCTCAATGTATTTAGATGATAGACTTGTGCTCGCAGTACTCTATTGAACAGGATGGAACTTATCAGATGTAGTTCTATTAATTAGTTTGTGTAGGCGTCCTACATAAACTAGAGAGAGGTCAGCAATGTCAGAGGATATTCAGAGAGCAGGGAACTTACTGAGGGTTCACTTCAACAGGTTAAAGTGAGGGTCCACGTCAAGGGGTTAAAGAGAGGGTTCACGTCAAGGGGTTAAAGTGAGGGTCCACGTCAAGGGATTAAAGTGAGGGTTCACATCAAGGGGTTAAAGTGAGGGTTCATGTCAAGGCGTTAAAGTGAAGGTTCACGTCAACGGGTTAAAGTGAGGGTTCAAGTCAAGGGGTTAAAGTGAGGGTTCATGTCAAGGGGTTAAAGTGAGGGTTCACGTCAAGGGGTTAAAGTGAGGGTTCATGTCAAGGCGTTAAAGTGAGGGTTCACGTCAACGGGTTGAAGTGAGGGTCCACGTCAAGGGGTTGAAGTGAGAGTAACATTCAGTGAAATAAGCTTGGAAGTCACAGTGGCTAAATTTACAAAGCACATGTAGTAACCATTTTAACAACTAAAAATTAGATGGTAGCATTGCACCTCTGATAAACTACAGAATCCCATTGTGAGGTGAACTCAATGAAGGTGAAGTTCTAAGTTAGCAACAGTGTGCAAAGTTTTAGAGTACCAAAACAGGCGAGGAAAGGAGGTTGAGTTTACCAACAGGCCAATGGAATAGTAGGGATATTGAGTGAACAGATTTTTCCAACACAGAAATATCTCCAATTCTTTATCATTGTCCGTGTTAAACACTGTTTTCAATTATTATACAACTGTTATTTGAGGAGTGTATTTGTGTTTAGTTGAGATTGTATCATTGGCCTTTATTTCCATTCCATCTTGACATTAATTATGTTGAGTTGTTGTGATATATTTTGATTGCTCTTCCAATGTTTAGATATATGTAAGATTTTTAATAAATGTTTTAGAAAACAAAATTGATTTGTGATTTTTATTTTTTGTTTGTGCTCTTTTTTTATTACCTTTCATTGCGCAAAACAGGTTTATGGCATGTCTCTGCATAAAACATCAAAGTTTTTATTTTTCCAGACATAATACACGATCTCCTTGGTAAAAATAAAGTTTGAATGAGCAGACAGGAAATTTAGAGATTTACTGGAAAAAAAGGGTTGGTTGCCCTTTGACTAGCCATGTCAAGACTTCGTCACTGTGTTGAATAAATTTACTAAAATCTATTTAGGGCCCCAAATCGGATACAGTGATACACTTTGATATTTAGATGTGCAATAGGGATTTAAAAAGTTTCTACATGGGGTAGGTGGGTTATGGTTATTACGTAATTACCTCGGAATCCAAAAGACTCATCTTTATTTTACTTGACATGGTGATGCACTGTGATACAACGTATGTAGATGAGCAACAGGAGTTTAAAAATATCTAGGGTCTAAGTCATTGTTACTTAAAAAACAGACGTGGCGGGAGGGAAGGAAATGTGTATGATATGGGTGGTTGGGTGGTGCAGTGGATAGGGCACTTGCCTTTCACAAAGGTGGCAGAGGTTCCATTCCCCGATCGGACATGACAAAGTTTGGGGTCACCTGATCATGACCGACCATTTGGGTTTCCTCCCACATTAAGACAGCCTCACGCGCTAACATCCGGGCCAACAAGAATTATTAATATAAGTTGAAATATTTTGTTTCATAACTGTTGTAAAATCAGTGTTCTAGTCTTCTTATGTTTCGAAAATACCTCTGACATGCATGTATCTATTTATATTCCAATTTATACCATTGGGAGAACTCCCAAGTGATAAAAATTAACCCTTTAGGCTGGTTAGGAGGTCAAAGTTCAACATAGGTCGTAAAGTTTTTTGTAGAAGTTCAACATGGAATTAAAACATTTGAAGAAGATTTGTACTTATTAAATGTTTTGAAGTTCAATTATCACACAAAACTGAACTGGTGGATTGACTTTAGACAAACATGACGTGAGAAAGTACCACTCTCATACAAAGTACAGGTACTTTAAACTAATAAAGATAAGTGCCTACACCAGTTAACAAGTGGCATTAAAAAAGGCTGCTCTCTTCTTTTACCAAGAAGGCATTACTCAAAACAGCTGTTTATAGTGAAGATGACAAATTACTTATAAAAATTATGGAGAAGAAACCATCGGCCTGTAAGACTGAAAAAAATCAATCTTGTTTTTTTAACAAGGATCGATCGAGCCATGTAAAAACTAGAAACTGAAAATGTTTAATGAAGATGATATGGAAAATATTGAAGACCAGTGATGGGAGAGTAAGGTTTAAATTCAAAGATACACTACAGTAAACAGGTATAAGCATTTGTGTCATGACAATGCTACCAAGTCTAGACCTCAATGGTGGCACTCGGTCTTCTGGATGGGCTCACAAGTGTCATGAGGTGACGAAACCATGGAAGTGTGAATAGAGCTTTAATGCCAACCTTGATGTATAAACAAAGTTATCTCTGTACCTTGATGGCTTAACAAAGTTATCTCTGAAATGGCAAGAATTGTATTTTGTTCAGTACGTACTAAAAAAAAAGTAGCTTAATTAAGTATTCTAATTTTTGTTTTAAAAATGCATATATGTAAAGAAGAAACTAATTGGATTCCAGCAAGTACATGAAATGAAATTTACTAATGTGTGCCTTATACTGCCTTGGTCATTTGGAATTGACGTGTTACATTGCGTATCAGGAATATAATTGTTCATAAATTTTAAAAAGTTAAAAATATATGGTAATAATGGTGAATGAATCGTTCAAGCCATGAAAACGAGGGTGTGCTTTTCTCATTGATCCGGAAATATAATCACGACAAAATTCCGATTTTATAATATCGTATCATTAAGACGCTTGATTTTACCTTTCTGTCAAACGTTTCATTGACGTGTTATGAATCTCTATGACAACAAACGGGAAAATGGAGTACACTGGAAGCAACTACAAAGGGGACTACAAAAATGGACGGTAAATACGTTTTTTAATCTATTTTTTGTGAAGCATTTGATCCCTCAGTCATCACTGGGATAATGATTTTATAAAAATGTATATAAGCAAGTCTGTTTTAATTGAAAGTCATATTAAGTGACATAATGAAACAGTGACAATCAAAGAAGTGTTGCTCAAGTCAACATACTGTACTGTACTGTAGGCCTACCGGATGTGGATTTCTTGCAGTCATGTTACCAAATGGAAAATGTTCCACAGTTGTGAAATTCTTAATTTCCCTGACTGAATCAACTGATGTTCAATCACTGGTACTGGCCTCGTCTGTCAACACACCCATAATATTATGGGTGTATTGACGGATGAGGCTACAGTAGTGGTCTAGGCTACCTATGGTTCAAACTGAAAATGTTTTAAAATTGACGAAAATTAATATCTGCAACAACTGTATCTGGACTGGCTCGATCGTCGGCCACTAATTAAATAGCTACCTGCATGGTAATGGTAAAGTGTGCATCTAGAGTTCGGAGGGTACCGGGTTGGAACCCCGGTCTGGCTATGCATTTTTCCTCTCCTGTTACAGTGGTGCCTTTGACCAACCCTTGTTTCAAGCACTGGGTTAGTCCGAATTATTCTGACGTTTTATCAACTTTTTTCATATCGGTCTGTCTTCGGTTAACTGGGTGTACACTTGGCAAGGGGATACCTGAACCTTGATCGGTTGTAAATAGTTAATTGTGTCTTCCGATGCGAATAATTAAGGAGGGAAGAATGTAAAGTGGAATGTATAACATTAAGCAAGGAAGCTATTTTTGTATATATCATACATGTACACATTGAATTAGACCTTTTGCAGATATGAATTAATCAAGCCAATACTAATATTATTATTTTTTTAGGATGGAAGGTACAGGCACATATGACTTCCCCACAGAGACTCGGTATGAAGGGGAGCTGAAGGATGGAATGTTTCATGGCAAAGGAACTCTCTTTTTCCCAAATGGAAGCAAATATGTGGCCACATGGGAAGAAGGATCTGCTTTGGAAGTAAGTGTACAAGCTGTCAGTTTGTATCAGAATATATTAAAAGATCCAGAGGTTATTCATCTATAACTCAAGGAGGTTTGTGTTTTAAATAAATTAAGGTAACGGAATTAATCCAGATTCATGATGCACTCAGTCATAGCTTGACAAAGGGACCATGCAGTTGGTCTTGCAACGTTGCGACACGTTTCATTAAAAAAAAATACCCCAAAAATGTTGGTTCTTATGAATGTCCTATAACATGGGTATTAACCTATACATAAAATGGACACACTTTTATTCGCCATTTTTGCTGCTTTAGGGGTAAGATTTCTGTAAAAAAACAAAACTGTATTGAGGTATTTTACTGAACTTACCACTAAGTGCACAGGAGGCAGAAAACCTTCTTGATGCGATACATAAAGTATATGTATATTGACAAATAGTTTTGCTGAATACTTAAGTGTTTTGATTTTTTATGCATAGAACATCATGGTCACACACTCTTCAAATTTCATAACATTTTGGAAGGTTAATTTACATGTATATTGAGAGCACATAGAATTGTAACATTTACATGTTAAATGATGAAGTAAAAAATAATGTACAGTCATGTATCAAGCTATCATATACATGAATTTAAAAAAAAAAACTTTTGAGAAAAATCAACATTTATGCAAAAGGGTTACAATATAACCGGATGATGTTGAAAGTGATCTCTGCCTGTAACGTAGATTAGTACCTCTGTTTATACTGTACAAAAAATATTCTTTTCCTTGCAGGGAAAATACACATTTTCTGATGGTCTTCCATATGAAGAGGAGAATTGGGAATATTGCGATGGCTACGATAGGCGATTCTATACAGAAACATGTAATGGCTTGAAACCAGCAGGTAGGATTCTTATTTTTACAATAATGGGGGTTATATGTCATTGAAGCATTTGTTTCCGGAGATTTTCTCACAAACCAAAAGACAAACATTTCTGAACTTTACATGGCTACACACTGTAAAATGTAGATGTACAATATGTGGTTTGAAATTGTTAATTGTTATGAATGACCTTGACCTACCTTGATCACATATTGGTTAATGAAACATTTGAACAATGAAAACCCTAGGGTGATGATATTTGCCAAACTGCATGCTTGAATAGATGGCTGTCAAGTTTGTTCAAATGAATGACCTTGACCTAAAATCTAGGTCACAGGGATCAAATTTTCAGTTCTAATTACCTAGGGTGATGATGTTCAGCTGGTCTGATGTTGTCCGTACTTGGTGGCCAGTGGTAGTTGTCCGATCACATTTGTCCGATCACATACATGTATAATGCTTTACTAGTAATATTTAAAAATCAAAAACATCTTGTGCTTGGCGATTATTGGGGACATATACTGTCAGGTGTATGGTGGGATCCTTTCTGATCTGTTTTCTGACTCTGTCCAGGTCTCTCCCAGCTGACCAACAGAATACCGCCCAGAGATATACCTGAAGGCTGTTACGACTGTGGTGACGGATTCTACAACCCCAAATCTAGGGTGGTGGTCGACTATAACCACAAATTCCTCAGGAATGCAGGTGAGTAAAATACAAAATACGTGTATCTGTATGTGAAGTTCTCAGCATACTATATCCCTATATCTGTAAATTAACAGAAATGTCAACAATAAATTGGAAATTACCATCTTGATCACTCCTGAAACTACGAAGAAATGTTTCCTTGCATACAGTATGAAGCTTAACATTTTCACTTGTACAGATAAATTTAGGTTCTATGTTGTATAAGAGAAACTTGATAAAATAATGAATACAATTTTCTGAAGTGTCATGTAATGAGACTAATTACTACATGTGTTAATTGTTTCGTTTGATATAAGATTTTTTCGTACATCATCATGTTTGATGCTGTGCCAAATTTGTGCATGTAGAATTAGGTTGCTACAATCTGATTTTTTTATAAGATGTAGTAAAAAGATGATTTTCCTCGCATAATTCAAAATCAGATCAGAACTGATTCTTAATTATTTCTTTTTTACAGATGATGATGAACACAGTTGGATTATCAAAAAATGTCGCAAAGGATGGGATGAGTATGTGGGATACAAGAAAGGAAAGACATCAGCATAACGTATTATAGTTTATAGATGACAAAAAATATGTTTTTAATATTTTGTTATATGTTTATATCAATTTCTTAATAATTCTGATTTTATTGTCTATCTTTATGTTGAAAACTGAATTTAACATCAGAACTTTCCTGCTCACCAGGCATGGATACAAGTCTGGTGTACGTCCTGGCCCAATGTCACCTTTTGATAAGGTTTGAACATTATCATGTTTCCTAGACACCTTCACCACTGTCTGTGATATTAATTAAGGTTGTACTTTCACTGCAAGTTACAGATATTTCGATCATGGGGAAAAAATTAGATTGTTTATGTTGCTTCAGAATTGTTGAAATCTAGTTATTAAAATTCCAGTAAAAAGTCGGAAAAACACAATGATTTTGTCTTTATTTGTTTTTAGAACTAGTTTTCCTCGATAATACACAGGGGCCAGGTACATTATCAGGCCAAAACAACTGGTTTACCCATTGCTAGTAGTTTCAATATTGCCATATTTTGCGCATTTGCCTCCTTGTGATAGCGCGAATCGACCAGACTTTATAGTGCTACCTCACTGAAATACCTAGCATTCCACCCGGTAACATATAGTGACAATGGGTTAAACAGTTATTGTGATCATCCTGAATTCTGAACGTTTAGCAAGGATAGTAACTACGATTTGCATTGCATCCTGGTGATGGGGGGACATAACCCATTGCCTTCCGGAATCTTTAGGGAAAACGTTGGGTAAACGTTAGGTGTTGCCAAGAAAAGGCGCTTGGAAACGGAACGGTTGTTAGGAAGGAGAGAGAAAAATGCTTCGATGATCATGATATGCAAATTGATACAGCGAAACTTTAGACCTTACGTTTAGACCAAAATATAGCTGTACCAAATGATCAAGACCCTGTGCCCAAAACGTCCAGAAATAGTATCTAGGTAAGTAATACTGTCGGTAGGAAATTCGTTCTTGCATAACAGTTAATTAAATATGTTTTTAGTACCCATGCTTACCTTGTTTCAACGTCTTATACCAAGCTCCCAATGTTTAAGACTTCGTTTTCATGTTCGTTTGATACGTGAATTATGTCAGGAGTTGTCAAGGCCAAATGTTACAATAATAATAGCACAGACATTTAATCATGTTTTACATTTTCAATGACAATCAAACTGTACACTTACACCACGAGTTCTTCGTATCATCCATACACAGACCATGTTTTTTCTAAAACGTTGCAATGACTGTTCAAGACAGAATGTGAAATTATTTCATAACGTGTATCTGTATGTGGTCATGCATCATTTGAGAGAGAAGTTTCTCAAGATTTCAGATACTACTTTGATTTGGCCTGGTACCATGGCCAGTCGATAATTATATTCGGATCACAGGGACCTGAGAATTAGTTACATCTACATTTGGACCTAAACTAAGTCGTTCAGAGTAATTTTACATGTTTTGGGGGTTTAGATCGACTTTCGTTATAAATGACACCCCAATGATCATATACACGAGAAGGGCGGAAGGGTCGCGATGTCGAAAAGTCGACCTCACCTAACTTTCTTGCATCAAAAGCAACATTTCTAGTTGATCTACGGGAACATGCTTAGTTCCGTTTGAAAGATGGATATTTTTTCTTTTAAAAACCTCCTATATGCACGTAAAATATATCCTCCTTCCGCGAACAAGATCTCCGTTTCCTCCAAAAACACGCCATTTCAGAGTTTCAAAGTTTTTCACAGTCATCGTGCCTCTGAACACTTTAGTTTAGGTCAATATATCGGTGTAACAAATTATCAGGTCCCTGTGATTCAGATCAGTCATCCGATCAATTAACACTAGAGGAATAGAAACAACATTTGTACTTTATTACTGGCATTATAAGTTGAAAGCTATTTTTGGAATATGGTGAAAGCAGAAAACATACTTTGGCTAACTTAAGCTAATTCCGTACGACTTTATCTCTCGTTCGTACGACTTTTTCTCTCATTCGTACGACTTTTTCTCTCATTCGTACGACTTTATCTCTCGTTCGTACGACTTTTTCTCTCGTTCGTACGACTTTATCTCTCGTTCGTACGACTTTTTAACTAGTACGTACGACTTTATATTATTTGTTTCTCCCTAAACAATGGTGCGAATAAGCTTTCGTACTAGAGATTCATCTTTGATACTGATGGGAAAAGCCCTTTGACAAATGTATTTATACATAATTTACCAGGTGTCGGGATAAGACGGGAAGCAGCGATATATATTGGTAAGACTGTTCATGGTAATTTTACATGTTTTAGGGGAATAGATAAAATTCCACATTATACTCGTACACCTTAGTTTAGGTCCAAATATTGTTGTAACAAATTCTCAGGTCCCGGTGGTTTGACATGGTAGAAGAATGACAAATATGGAAGCAAGAGGTTTGCTCGTGTCTATTAATAACTGTTAACGTCATTTAAGGACGTGCCTCTGTGTGTTTGGTGCAAGTATGCGTGCCGAAGACGGGGTATGTTGATGTGTGTGTATCCTTGTGATAGCGCGGAGCAGATGCCCACTTTGTATGATAATCCTATCCAAGGACCTTGCGAATAGAATTCAATGTTTCCCTTCGTGGTCTCTTAGGGTTTATAGGAGACCCTAAACATAAAGTCAAGTACTGACTCGAGATTCTACAAAATCCTGCTTTTCATCTATGGATGTTAGGAGAAATTAATATTAAGTGATGTATTATTTTCAATTCCTTTCCGTTCTGTGTTTTTGTTAAAGAATCAAAGTAAACGAACTAATGTTCAACAAATTTATTTCAAACCTTATAAACATTTGACAACAAATAATTGAAATTGAGCACAGTGAAAACGACGTTGTTCACGTCTACACGTTCATATCAATTTCTTATTACAATACGTCGCGATCATTTTGACCCATAGCAATTCTGTCGCTGGAGTCAGGTGGACGCCATCTTCTAAGAAGCGATCCTTTGACTGGTATGGTTTGAACATTCTACAGAACCTTATGCGTTTAGCCGTTCAATTGGTTTCACGGCACTTCACTTTTAGATACGTGTTTATCTGTTTACGGCACATGTTATACCTCGCCAAGTTCATCTTAGGATTTCTAAACTTGTACCGTTTGAACTTGCTGCCAATAACAACTTTGACCTTGTCGCTGCTGATGGCCTCTGCGAACCGGAAGAGGGTGTCGGCAACGTCTTTCCAGGGCATTGACCCGATGTCGTTCTCTCCTGATTGGATAAACACTATATCCGGTTTCATTTCCTCACTAACTTCGTCCCATGTATGACTCAGGTTCTTGACCCCTCCCCCAGACACGCCACTAGCGTTTATAATGACACTTCCTAATTTAAAGGGACACAATCTACCTGCGCGTCGTGCGAAGGAATGACCAACCAACAGCACATTTTTCTGTAAAAGAAAACAAAAAACAATATCAAAAAGTTAGAATGATTACGGTACATTAAATCTGACAAATCCCACACAGTCCCGGTAAACTCTCTATATCGTCAACGCGGAGGGCGAGAAGCCATTGCAAGGGAGTGGTCAGCAAAAAATTTACCATAATCATGTGTTTTCACCGTTAAACTCGTTAGTTTAATTAATAGTTCATTTCTAGTTCGCACAAGGGGAGGGGTGATATAAAGAATGCTATGCGAGATATTTTAACATTTTAGTGTCAAATTTTTGCAATTTATTTGCTTACTTCAATTTCATAAAGGTTCGGGGTGTTTCCATTTTGCTGGTGTCTTGTCTTTCCGACCAAATTTTTCCGAAGTATTTTGCATTGTGTCGTGAATGCTGACGATATTGAGTTTTTATAAAATATATATTTATATTTCCTGACCCAATGATGGTAATGTCAGAAATAAGTACACAGTCATTATGTTACATTAATCTTAAATTGGGTCATATTTAGGAACATTTCTAGGAAATGTCAAATCACCGGTGTGTGTTCAAACATTTTAAAACACCGCTTGCATATATTTATAAGTATCTCTAAAATGCCTTCGTTGATGAGCAAATCCATATTACACTTTATTGTGGTAACGATCGCTTGTGTTACCAATTGCTTTTAAACTAGTTTGCCTTTGGTACCTATTGTCATGTCGAAAACCTTACGCTGTTAATTACTTGTATCATTATTTCCTTCAACATTCCACACAAGTGAAGACAATCTAAGAAACCAAAGATTTCTTTAAAAATTATCAAAATTATGGATAAAAGTAGATAGATTTTTTGATGATTTTCTTAACAAATTAAAAAAACTTACGTGTTCCAAACAATCAACGGAGTCAAAATGCCTCCATAATTCGTTTGGCACAATGGACTAACAGAAAAGTAGTTCAACGCATACATATGCAAGCTATTTATATTTCCTCATCCAGCCATCCTACTCATTTAAACCTCCGCGTTGTCGCTACAGGGGCCTACCGGGGTGCACATGTACTTAGTTATGGACACAAACATTTGGTTCCTACACGATTTTTCCTTTTAGAAGATTAATAGTTTACAGGGGTCTTAACGTTTTATTTAACAACAAGGTTTGACTATCTTACCAGTCTTGGTGATCAGGAAGGAAGTTAAGCCGAAAAGCCATTTTTAAAAGACTAATGATCGTTTCAACTCATTGTGCTATCTCCATTTCAGAGGCTGAATTACAGAAGGTTTAAATTGTTAGAATCGTATGCATATATCCAAACTGGATGTGTGGAGGTTTACAATGGTTCCCCGGTCATTTCATTATAAATCACTGTATAATTCGATTTTTGCTTCACTAGGTTACTTTGTCTACGAGACACCAACATCTATTACCTCTATGTCCGATTTTGTGTCCATGTCTTTTCTTTTAAGGCGCTACCAAAGTCTGTCATGGGTTTTTTTTATTGTTATTAGATTCTTGCGGATATCTTAACAGTGCTGAGATTAGTGAAGCAATAATACCTCAATCTTGTAAACCCGGTACTGATGTAGGCTAACGCAGTCTTTTAACAGATTTTTTTTTTATAGGATGTTGCAGTATTTTACCATTTCATGGCATAATAAAGACCGGCTACGATCTATCTGTCCTTTCCAAAGACATTTGCTATTTTTAATTTAAATACTGCAAAAAGTTCAAACAATGAATTTAAACCATACATGAAGAATTCGTCAGCCAAGCTAAAACGTTGTCAAAAAAAAACACCGTTACTGAAATGTTATCAACATCACGTTTTTCTCGCGTTACTTGCACTAACAGTTTTGCATATCAAACATAATAATTGACCAATTTATGACCCGATCCCGTCGATGTATCGATTTGACCACAGGGGCACGGTTCAATTTATCAATTTATATCCGAGGCCTCCTAGATGCCTCATATATAAATTGATAAATTGAACCGTGCCCCTGTTATTTGACCCGCAGTGCCGGGCCGATTCCTACATGTGCCAATAATAGTTTTGTAGCGTGACAGTTGTATTAAGAAGAGTGAAACGTTATAAGAAACGTGATCTTCACTCATAGTACTTGATGTACAAATATACATTACCTTTATTTGAGAGGACGGAGCCACGTTTTCAGACATTCCTGCTTCGCAAACTCATCACGGGCATTCACGTTTTGGTGAATGGGTGCGTTCGAATGCAATACACTTTTCGAGAGTGCTTCCCCTTTGCATATGTTAACAAGTTCGGTTTATCGGGAAAAGAGACGTTACGTTAGCTATATTTACTCAACATTTCCATTAAAATAGGCGATAGTGATGGATGTTGGTAGAATCATTCTACAGTGTAATGTATCTGCACTTAGACAACCAGAAGAGGAGCCCAAAATGGAACACTTGATATATATGACGCAACAATTTTTATTTCGCAATCACAATTTAGATAGGTTTCTGCATTTTGAACAAATATCATATGCCTTCATCTCAGTGGCGGATCCAGAGGGGTTTTTTGGGCTTCAGGAAACCCCCCACCCTGAGAATTTACTTTAAAAATCATGTATTTTCACCATTTTCCTCAATTTTCCCAATTTTGCAGCTGCAATGTTTAAGATGTAGGCATATGATTAAGATGTAATCATATGCCTACATCTTAAACATTGCTCATAAACTAAATTGAAAAAAATGATATGGAAAAAAATCCAGGGAAACAGTACGATGCGAAAATATAAATACATTATCATATTTCTAAACATTGAAAACTATATGAACGTGTAAAATTTGTCAGAAATTGTCAAATCTTTTTTTTAAATGAAGAAAATTATTTAAATGCTGTCAGTCATTTTCATAAACTGACTTATTTGATGAAGTGTTCCATTTTGGGTACTCTACCAGCTAAAAATTCCAAGTGAATCTGATACACTTTAATGAGCTCTATAACACAATTGCTGTTATACCCAAGAAATACATGAGATGAAGGCTAAAGGCATGCATTGTTTCATTACAGTAAAAAAAACATGGTCTTTCAGAAATGTTATAGGAAAAAATAATATTTTTCTTTAAAAAGTGCTCCATTTTCGGTACCCTCACCCTAGCCTAAGTTCAATCTCTCCATCACAGTCGTTCATAGATGTTTTGCTAAATCCCTCAACAATTGAATAAATATCAAATATCTGTCTACTCTCACGAATCGGTCTCTCTTGTGCTAGTAGAGATGAATCGGACGTTTTAGCTGACGACACTCATCTTACGATTTAATGTATGCTATTCAAATAGTTCGGCGCCAGTAATGTACCAATCTCTGATTGGTCAATGATATTAAGATATTGTAATGCTATTCTTAAGTTAACAAAGGCCAAACGACAGCATTGTTATAATGAAGATTTATTAGTTGGATTAGCTTTACGGTTTTAATATTACATTTGACTAAGTTCTTCAATACAGCTCCGTTCGTCTAGATCATCATAGGAAATTGCTTTGCCATATTTTCATCTTGTCATCGGTTGACTCATCTGAAAAGATAAAAGACAGAAACAGCTCAAACATAACGCATGACAGTAGCTTTCACTAAATTTAGGTGGGTCAATACTTTTCGAAATACCTATATCAATTTTTCTAAGAAAGCTAAACTATTAGTCCTATTTTATTTCTTTTTTGACATATTGTTCAAACATTTGGCAAGAAAATATATGATTTTCGACTTTTTTTAGGTATTTCAATGTGTTGCCACTTTTCTGAAATTTTTAGTATTTTTGTTGTCAAAATTAGACACCATCATGTCGCAGTTAGACCCAAGGACTGCCCTCAACCAACTGTAATTCATCCCCGCCCCCCCNCGTAATAAACTTTTACTTTTAAAGACGTTCTATTAATAAAAAGGAGAAAAAAAAAATCAAGGTGGAACAAAGAATATATTGAATATTTAAAAATAAAATTCAAACACAAAAGCCAAATCAAAAAATATATATATATACATATTGATTCATAGATCTCTAAATTCATTAGATAACAGGGCTGGACCCAATACTGATCATAATTGACAAATGCAAGTTACCACATTTTTAGTAATCTCGAACTTCGACGTGGGCCGGGTGACACGCGGTACAAATCCTCTGAGTTTTCCACCTTTACTGTTTTTTCCACTGAAACTTTTTTTGTCCCTTTTACGATATCCTGTTGTCTGATAATGACTAACAAAGTCATTACTGTGGCCAAGATCACAGTTCCATAAGGACAGGTTTCTTTGCTAGCGTCGTAGTCAATGGGAAACAGGAAACCGAAAAGACATGACATCTTCTTTTGACAAGGGAACCACATGTATAACAGTGCCACAACTGGAGCCGTTGAAGAAAGCACTATCTTGGCAAGTTGTTTGAGAACTTTCGATCTCAATCGTGGAAGATACTTCGGTAAAACAAAGTTATGGAGTAGCAAATAACCAACCGCCAACATGAATGCAACAGAAGCTGCATATCCAGTCATCAGCACGTTGGCCTCTTTCCGAAATACGATAAAGATCATCGACCACAGAAATATGCAAAATTCCCATAAACTTCCGAGTTTGAGTAAAACTGCTGACGTTTCTTTCATTATGACGGAGAGTGTCGTTCCGATGACACCTAAAACTACAAAAGTCTGCATCTTGATAAATCCAGTTGAGCTACCTTCAAAGCATTGACGTTTGTTTTCTCATAAGCCTCACTTTCATTTGACGTTCAGTTGTTGGTGACGTCATAGTTAACTGACGTTTCACACAAATTTCAGTATGATCTCCCTTTACTATAGGCAACGTCATGTCAATTTAACGTTCTAACATACACCTGTAGTATCGGGTCTCTTTTCGGCTTGTTGTAATACATGTAAAACCATTTATTGGCACTTTTATTTCACACTAGCATCATTGACATTTAGAAAGGACATACATTGCCTAAACTTAATGAATTCCTAATTAACCGGCGATATACGGACGCTCCTCTTACTTCGTAATGTTGCTGTAACATTCTTAAAATTCATTCCGGTGAAGTAACGAGAGGCCGCCTTTCTCAGGTTAAATATGATTCGGTCGATGAAGAAAAATATCTTACAATCCGTCTGCCACCAATGTAATAAACTCTCGACTTTTTCTCTAGTCAAAAATTAGATTGCTCAATTAGATATATTTGAAAGAACACAGTTTTCAAACTTAAATCAAATCCACATTTAGCATGACGATACCAAAATTGGTGCGTAATCAATAAAATGTTGAAAATAGAAAATTGCAAAATTTCTTTTAAGGATATTTCACTCATACCCCAAAGAATGAATACTTTACTGTTTTTAATTTGGTTCACAACAATTTCTGCAAAATGCAAGCACAGTTTTAGATACGAAACAATGGTTCAATTTGGTAAGTCATTCTCATAAGGGCTTTGTATGTAAGGCTCTTTCATGCTCAGGGGTGTAGGATAGGGAAATTATATCACATCATATTCTATGCATTACATCTCACATAACTTGTTTACAGGATTTGTTAGGCTAACACAACATTGTTTTCCTAAATGGTAATGCACACTACAGCAAGGCTGTTTCTAATGTTAATGGTAATCAACAAGCTCTACCTGAAGCTGATTGCCAGATGTTTGTCGTCAAAATTGTGACCCGCAATCAGTCCGTCCGTTCGCGAAAGCCATCCCAACTGGCCCAAGCAAAGGTGTTTACAAGGGCCGAAGAAAGAGGAGGAGTACCCTCCTGAACTTAAAAGCTTTGAGGAGGAATCAATTAAAAAGAAAAAGAGGGAAAGACAACAACATGAAAAGAAAAGTATGAAAGGACTAAAGAAAAAGGTACACAAGGAAAAGAAAGACATTACCATGATAGAAGAGGACCTCGACGATGGCGATTATTTCTGCTTGGTTTGTCTCGAGTCGTATGCGAACAGTAAGATAAACGAGGTATGGATCCAATGTATTACGTGCAAGTGGTGCTGCTTATATACGGCACACCGGTCCGATGATGATGATATATTGTGAAGACGGAACACTGTTCATTATATATAGTATATGTCACATGAATTGGCCTCGTGACCACAGGGACCTGATAATTTGTTATAACTATATTAGGACCTAAACTAAGGTGTTCAGAGTAATTTTACATGTTTTAGGGATTTAGATCGACTTTCGGTAAAAAAAAAGACACCCCAATGATCATATATACGAGAAGAGCGGAAAACTCTCGATGTCGAAAAGTCGACCCCACCTAAATTTCTTGCATCAAAAGCAACATTTCTAGTTGATCTACGGGAAACGCTTAGTACCGTTGGAAAGATGGCTAATTTTTCTTTTATATGCACGTATTTTCCTTCCGCGATGTCCGTTTCCTCGAAAAACACGCCATTTCAGAGTTTCAAAGTTTTTCGCAGTCAATGAGGTTGAGGTCAGCGCGTGCCGAAACATGCAGTGTTGGTTGATTTAGTGAAAAAATGGCTGCGCTTCCAGCCAATCACACCAGGGGTCTTGGCACGTTATTGGGGTGTCATTTTTACCGAAAGTTGATCTAAACCCCTAAAACATGTAAAATTACTCTGAACACCTTAGTTTAGGGTTGGACACTAACTATTTTTGCTTGATTGTCCACATGGCTAGTTGAATATATTATTTATTAGTCCTTCGTCAATGTAACTAGTCCTGATAAGGAAATATTGCGATCTACACCACTAAACATCAAAACAAATCGACTGTAGGGGACTTAAAATTAATCATGGTGAAGTTTTAGGAAAATTTTGCCAATTATCATGCAATATATCTTATTTTGAGCAGTTTTCTGAATTCTAAAAAGGAATGATATTCTTATTTTGTAATCATATTTTATCACAAGTCCAAAGGACCAGTTAGGTAAGGTGATTCAGTAGTCCTTACTGAAATCTATTAGTCCAGGACTAGCGGACTAGTGTCGACCCCTGGAGTCTATACGTGAACATTTTCACACGCGAAAAAAATCCAACTTAACAGTATCTGGGAACATAGATGGTGTATATCATGTCAGGTATGTCTTGGAATTCACCTGTACTATAAATATGACAGCAAATATGACGCATATGTGGGGTTAAAAATAAATTATGAAGGTGGCAATGAGGCGTATAGACCGATTCAAGGGAAATTGATCCGTGGTCCTTTTGAAATGTTCTCCTTTGAAATTTGCGTGAAAATAAAATATCACCAAGATATCATTAATTATTACTCTTAAATGTATATCATTCCTGATGTTTAAGGACTGTTTCACACAGATCATGACGCGTGATATACACTGTATGTACAAAAATGATTTCCAGTGTTACTTCCTACGCGCAAACGCACACAGCTTTCTGTATGTGGTTTCAACAACTACGTAACGCAACGTAGCTCCAGTCGTCGGATGTTATATTGCCGCAGGATTTAGTTAAATTCTTAAGTACTTACTTTGAACATTTTGTATCATTCGTTAACAAATATGACTCCGAATCATGCATACCGTATCGATCATTTATATAGATGAAAAACACTATGGGGCCTATAACAGCCTATAACTCCCGATGTTATACGTTTTCCGTTTGCAGAGAAAAAAACCTATCCGGATTAGCTCCTAAAGACTCAGTTAGATTTGACACAGACAGTTTTGTCTCACTGAAAAAGTTTATATCGCACGGATTAGTAAATCGTGCGCGCGGATTAGTAAATCGTACGCACGGATTAGTAAATCGTGCGCACGGATTAGTAAATCGTGCTCACGGATTAGTAAATCGTGCTCACGGATTAGTATATCGTGCGCACGGATTAGTAAATCGTACGCACTGTTTGGTAACTCGTGTGCACGGTTTGACAACTCGTACTCACGGATAAGTAAATGTTTTACCATGTCCCTTCGTGGGCTCCGTAGTATGTACACGTACACTCACTTTTGCAACACACATAAAATAATGGGTCTTGTTTTTTTTCTCTCGATCTTCGGCATTCGTGTATATATAAACTAATTATATCTTATACAGTGTGTATACTATATATATATATATATATATATATATATATGGTGAGTTGTCGATCTACGTATACGGCACTCAAATTGTGTCCCAAACATCAAACGAACTGCAACAGATCTTTTTTTCCTTTTTTTTTTCTTTTTAATTTCTAAGAATCTAAGACTTTTAAGAATATTGCATAAAAGGCATCGTCGGAAACCCACGTTCGATTGTACTAGCGTTGGAGACGGAACCAATCAGATTGCTTTGCGAAAAACGAGGAAATTGCAACAACTTCGCTCATGGTCGATAAACGCTAGTACAATCGAACGTGGGTTTCCGACAATGCACAAAAGGCAGATATTTCACTTTAAAATTTGTCAAATGAATGACGTTCATGGAAGACATTTTAAAGTGAATTGCAGTTTTTTGGGACGAAATAGTTGTGGCGTTATGTTTTTTTTTGGGGCGAACTGGTTGGGCGATATGAATCGAATGATGGGGCGTAACAGCTTGTTGAGTTTTGGGCGAATCGTCGGACACCCCACCACCGAATTCTTCTAGCTTCTTCTTCCTCCCGAGTGGAGTGAACTCACAGTAGAGTGTTAAAGACTCCAGCGCTGGGTGGGCGAACAGCTAAGATTTATGTACAATTTAAAAAGTTAAAATCTTATAAGATATTTAGAAGTGGTGGATGAGTCCAGACACGTCCTGCAAAAGGATGACATGTCTGAAGCTGTCGCTGGATGGTGACTCACCAACAGGTGGAGGGATTGAATTCCATGCTCGTATTGTTGCTGGGATGACGGATAACTTGGAGGCATCGACCCTGGTGCTGGTTTGCTGGATGTTATTGGCATGGGGTCCCCGTGTACGGCTGGTGTTGACCAACTTGACCGTCAAGAGATGGCGGACATGGACTTCTACAATGTTGTTGATAATTGTGTAGAACATGATCACTCTGTTCCTAACTCTCCTATGTTCCAGTGGTTCCCAATTCAGCTGCTGTAGCATGTTTGTGACACATCCAGGATCTCTGGTGTAATAATTCGTAGTAGTGAATCTGGCAGCCTGGCGTTGTACGCTCTCGAGTTGTTGTATCTGTTGTGCTTGATAAGGGTCCCAGACATTACTTAAGGATAGGCCTCACAAGTGTTGTATAGGCCTGTGTATTGACTTCCTGTTGGCATCTCCTTAGATTCCTCCTTAGGAATCCAACATATCTTGCAACTTTAGCTGATGTTAGGCTTACATGCTCTCGCCTTGAGGGGTCGTGATTAATGTGTTCGCCTAGCTAGGTATTTGCTGCCTTAGACAATTTCTAAGTCATGGCCATTTAGGTGGTGTGTGGCTTTGACTGTTTTCCGCTTTCGTGTGATTCTGATGGTGACACACTTCTGAGGATGGAATGACATTTGCCAGTCATTTCCCCGTTTCTTAAGAGCTACCAGATCGTGTTGTAGTACTACTGAGTCATTACTGTTTCCGATTGTGCGGTATATTACGCAATCGTCTGCAAAGAGCTTCACTTGTGAAGACACGGTGCTTGGGAGGTAATTAATAAAGGCCAAGAATAGGAGTGGGCCCATGACAGTGACTCGGGACACCCCGGATGTTACGTCTGCCTCTGTTGACTTACACCCTTCTACCAAGACATACTGCTTTCTGTTTTTTTTTGTGTCATTGTTTATTTTTCGACGATTTTTTCATAATACATATAATCATGAAAAGAAACACACACACACACACATACTCAAACTTACAGAGAATATATACATGCTAGCACGAGATATCTAAATAATCTACACATGCACAGGTATACATTATACAACTATCATATTCTGCACATTTATTTATCAAACATTTCCTCATTCACCTAACCCTAGATGATATGCGCTATATATCTAAGAAGTATAGTTCAAACTGCTTTCTGTTGTTTAGGAAGCCTGTGTGGATACATGGATCCCGTAGTAGTGAAGCTTTGCAAGAAGCCTTTGGTGGGGGACTTTGTCGAAGGCTTTTGCGAAGTCAAGGAGGATGACATCTATTTGTTTGCCTTCAGAAAGCCCTCTTGCCAGGTCTTGTACTGTGGCTATCAAGTGTGCCTCGCATGACCGCCCTCTCCGGAATCCATGTTGAGCATCTGTCAATATTTGATTTATATAACAATCTAATATAATTCCGTGGATGCACTAAGATTACATTTTCTTTTATGAATGTAAGTTAATTTCTTGTAATATGCTCTCTTAATCCTCTTCGTCCCGTATGGGACATAAGGCACCAACAATGCGTCTCCATTTGTGTCTGTCGTTGGTAGCGTGTTGTACCTCGCCCCATGAAAGCCCATCTGTTTCAATTTGCATTTATTGACGTTTCAACCCTCCTCCAGTCCTTTACCCAGGCTTGGGATCGGCAGAACACCCCATAAAATTATCCAGGCAGAGTTGTAATATGTACCATGGACTTTAAAAATAGCAATCCAATTCCGTGTAAAACTGTTAGACAAAATAAAAATCTACTGCTGAGGGAGGAAAAAAGGATCAGAGATCAATTTAAACCGGATAATAGGCCTATCACATCAGAAATAACCGTAACATCAGTCTTTGATAATACCGAAATTCAAAACCCAGTGGTAGGAGTCTTGTTCGACTATTTCCGGGATTTCACCGGCAAGTCCCCGGGCTATATATTATATATTACCAAGATTGTCTGCCGTAGTTTTCTGATCTCCGCCAGGCTTCAGCTGGGTCTGTCAAGCGCTTGTATGTCGAAAAATTCGCCGAAAGTGATTGAAACTAGGTAAGCAACCTATATTGAAGATAGCGATTCTGTTTCTCCATAATTGTAACCCACCTTCTTTCTGATTTATTCTAAACAGTTAGACACTCAAGAGTCTTGAGTAATGTATCAGGTTCAACATCACGATTTTAACCGAAACGCTCGTCAACAAAATGGACTCGCCTTTTTTGGGAGGGATGGCGTACGCGTACGCGTGTGAAGTTGTGAACACCGGTTTGCCTAGCATAACTTGTTTTAGAAGTTAAGTTCTGCGTATTCCGTAAATAAACAAAAACGGAAATTCAATCTCGAAACCAACTGGCCGACCCAAGCTAACCTCCATGACCTCAAAGCAGCTTTAACAGTAACTTTTGCAATTTATTATTAAAAATCGCATTAGGTTACGACAAGGTTAATAATATTTTGCTAAAAGATGTTTACTGAGAGCGTTGGCTACTTAGAAACTTGATGTAACTCTACCGGAAGTATTGTAGTTAGTTTTGGTATTTTCCTACATGCAAATAAAGTTTATTTTTGCATTTGTATGATGTTTCATGACTAAATAAATGTGACTTGGACAAACAATTTGAAAAAGTTAAGCTTAATGTCATTTTAGTAACAAATCCATACCCCAATTGGCGTATAATAGGTGAGTTTGCGTATTATACATAAGATGGTGGTTTTCCCCGACCTGATGAGGTGAAATAAACAGACACGGAGCAGCAAGAAAGGGCGTCATATTTCGTTCTACATAATCCTATAAATACTGTATTTGACTAACGTCTGATCATGTATGTTTCCGCGTGTTATGTATTTCCGCGCAGACATTTTATCAAGCTATATCTCGTAACTATGTGACATGCTGGACACTTCACAAGGACATTTCAGACGTTTGGCCATCGTCTGTAAAATGACACAAAAAATACCAGAAGTTTGTCCGGAAAACATAAATATGCAGTTTGATTAATGCACTTTTTATCTTGCTCAAAATGAGCCCATACCTGGAAAAACAGTGATATATTTCATTCATGAACTGGTCCTTTTTGTAGTCTGACAAAAATACGAAAATGATGTATGCAAATGAGGCCACATCTCCTCATCGATTTTTTACCACTTCCGAAGAGCCAAGGAGATATTCTTATATCGTGAACACTGTTTGCATTAAAACGTTAACCTCGGCTGCAATGAAATTCCAATTTTCACCAATTTTAAACAAAATAAAATGAGAAATAACTCGCCATCAACCAAAACTGATATAGGACTTCACAAAAAACACCAATTACAGATTCTATCATAACTAAATAAGTAAAATAAACAAATTTATAAAACTACATGTATTCGTTCAAGTTGACATTGAAAAATGTGAAATTCTTAAAAATCTGTTTTGATAATAAAATTTGACAATCATAGATATTTTTTTCATACCAAACTAAGCTTTTCTTCCGACAGGCCACTAGGGGGAATATATTTTTAGTGTGTTCAAGTTATCTTTCTTTGAACACTAAATCAAAATAGTTACACAGAAACATAGGACTGCTACTTCTGACGGGAGAAATTTATTAAAAATTGTTTTTTCTGATTTTTAGCTCACCTGGCACTAAGTGCCAAGTGAGCTTATGCTGTGGCGTGGCGTCCGTCCGGCGTCGATATTTTACTTTAAACGACTTCTTCTTAATAACTGAAAGGCCTAGGGTGATGATATTTGGCCAGAAGCAAACTGGGATGAATGGCTACAAACTTTGTTAAAATTAATGACCTTCACCCATTTTCAAGGTCACTGGGGTCAACTATGTTAAACACTTTAAACATCTTCTTCTCGATAACCAAACTGCCCAGGGAGATGATATTTGGCCAGTAGCATGCTTGGGTGAAGGGCTATCAAGTTTGTTCAAATGAATGACCTTCAATTATATTCAAGGTCACAGGGGTCAATTGTCTTAAAAAACCTTTTTAACAACTTCTGAATAACCAAAATGTCCAGCTGGGTGATGATATTTGGCCAGTAGCATGCTGAGATGAAGGGCTACAAAGTTTGTTCAAATGAATGACCTGTACCCATATTCAAGGTCACAGGGGTCAAATATGTTAATTTTTTAAACAACTTCTCGATAACCAAAATGCCCAGGGTGATGATATTTGGCCAGTAGCATGCTGAGATGAAGGGCTACTAATTTTGTTCAAATGAATGACCTTCACCCATATTCAAGGTCACAGGGGTCAGATATGTTAAAACTTTAAACAACTTCTTCTGAATAACCAAAATGCCCAGGTAGATGATATTTAGTCAGTAGCATACTAGGATCAAGGGCTACCAAGTTTTGTTTAAATGGATGACCTTGAATCATATTCAAGGTCACACGGAGCAAATATGTTCAAAATATTTAAAGAAATTGTTCTGAATAACCAAAAGGCTCAGGATGTTGATATTTAGTCCATAGCATGCTGGGATCAAGGACTAACTATGTTTGTTAAAGTGAATGACTTTGACTTATATTCAAGGTCACAGGGGTCAAATTTGTTTAAAATCTTTAAACAACCTCTTCTGAATAACTATGGGTCCCAGGATGTTGATACTTTGCAAGTTGCATCCTGAGATGAAAGGCTATAAAATTTGTTCAACATAATGACTTTGTTCGACTTTCAATCACAGGGGTGAAATGTTTTAAAAAAAAATAACAGGTTCTTTTGAATGAATTTTAATCATAAATACTGATATTTTGCCTGTAGCTTTATTTTGGATCACTTTTAAGGTTACAAGTGTGAGATTTATACCAGGTGAGCGGTGCAGGCCCATTGGGCCTCTTGTTTTTAAATACAGTTTTATGTTGTTAGTTTTTTGTTTCCATTAGTAGATTGTATACATGTTTATGACAGTCATCCGTAATTTCAACAGTTTTCTGCCGATATGAGTACGAAATCGCGGTTGCTTCCTAAGTGTGCGGAAACGGTCACACGAGGATACAATGAGGTACAGTTGTGTGACTGCACAACGCATCAGAAATAGCATCCATACATACCGTGCGCACACCGTCTGCACATCGTCCACACATGGTATATGCACAACTGTGCGATTAAACAGTCATTCGCCCCGTTGTGCGCTTCTCTCCGCACAAATGTGCGATTTGGTACAATTGGTCGATCAATATTATGGAATGAAAAAATCTGGAAGCTCATTTGGAATAAGGAACACTGTATACATAAATGTTTAAATTTCTCATCATTATGCTCAATTTTACAATGCGTGTTACACAGTAGTACAGTGACTGCTAGACCGTCAAGAATGTGTTTTGCTCCCGGGTGACAGAACAGGTAAATAACATTTTGATGAGTGACCAGAGTTTTACCTGGTGCCCTGTGCCTGACATTTTTGGTCTATAGCTCCCCTTCAAATGTTTTTTCACACCTTGACGAGTTATGTAAGTGCCCCGGGTGTGAAAAACTACGGTCTTACCTGTATATGAAACCGAGTCCATATGTGTTTTTTTTTTACAAGTGTCGATTTGGGTAGTTTAAAAAACACAGAAACACCATTTCTAAATTTAAGAAAAAAATAGAAATATCAGTTAATATATGTAGCTAGAATATAGAAACATATTTAAAAAATCAAGTTTATATATTTAAACACGAAACCATTTTAATCATTTTAGAGAAGGTAAAAATTGTGTCGCCAAAGAATTTCATTCTTTGTTGTTATTTTAAACTTCAGTCTTATCATATATGGCCGACGACTCAAAATAAAACTATTTGAAGGGAGATAATCCAATATGGCGGACCAGAAACTCAAGAACGATAACCCAAGAATGACTTGTTCCTGCGTATAGTGTGCACCCCCTTTTTGACATGACAATATTTACCTAGAAAAGTGTGCACTATACGCGCAAATTTACGGTAAATTGTTAAGCCATTTTTCAATTTACACCAACCACGATTGTCATTGCACAACGTTCGTCCATCGTCCGCACAAATCTGTGCAAGCAATAATCCAGATTTGTATCGTTTGCCCATCGCGCGCACATTGTGTAATGTTGTGCGATCCCACAACTGTACATTTTTGTACACAAAAAGTTATCGATTTTGATCTGATGTCGTAACTTTTGGTTAAATTGACAAACCATATCACTGATTTTGTTTCCATTGTTTGCAGTGTGTAGTCCTTGTGGTTAGCCAGTGCAAATATGAAATGTGACAGGTGAACGAGAGATTTTTTTTGATTGCCCATCTTCTCCTTGGGTTTATATTTTGCCCTAGCCCGAGTAGGCGAGTTTCCTCTGGCCCCGACACCAGACTTAAGACATTTTAACAGATAATGTGGAATTCTTGGACACCGTTTGGTATCGGAGAGCTATGACAGTCATCATGATCATGTCATTGGACTAATGTAGAACTTTTAATCACTTGATAAACTACAAAATCACCAATGGAAGTGACTTTTAATCATTCAGTATATTTGGTTGTTACGGTAATATGATCAGGACATCAGGAATTTCTATGCCTGCGGCCATTGCCGAACAATATGTATCCTATGTGAAATGTTATGAAGTATTTCACTTTAATTTAAAATGTCTAGATCAGCTATTTGTTATAAACAACTGTTAGTTGAACATTTTCTTGTGTAAAGATGTCTTTGTTCAATTTTTTCAATGGTTATAAACTTTGAACATGAATTATGCCTGAAAACAAATAATCAAACATTTATTGATCAAACAATTTTCAGTAACCCAAGAGAAATCCAAATGTTATTTTTTTTAAAGTATGTAGAGGTGAAATGTGTTAGACCGCTGGATAGTCAACAATTTCAACTTGTAGTAGGTGAAACATTTTTTGCAATTGGTTTCAGTTCAACATATGTTTTAAATGTTATTCTTTTTTTTATATCCACCTGAGACAATTTATTGAGCGTAGAGATATCTTTTATCATACGTTAAAAGTTACCCTTGCAGATTGTTAGGTAATGAAGTTTTTAAAAGACTGATAAGCTTTAAGACAAAATTAAATTAGCACCAATGCTTTTTCTTATATATTTTCAAAATAGTGTTGAAAAATTGGAAGGTAGAGTACATGTTCAGATATTTGATATTTCTTGATGACATTTTGAAAATTTGTGCTACAACTTACTAATTACTCTTTTAATACTGGCACTAGATGACTGCAGAATCTCAATAAAACTAAATTGCCTAATTTTGTTTAATTGTTGTTGCAGAGCCTGATGTTTGAATGCTGTAAAGATGCAGTCACTTCACATTCTCCGTAGATCTTTCCAGGCCTTCAGAAGAATTGGTGCTGTGCCTGTATATCGATTGAGAACAGCATATCCTTGTGTACAACTTTTGAATTACTCTGGTTCTCCAGCTACGACAGTGTCCTCCCCAGATGAATTAAGTAGCCAGGCAAGGATCCTCGTAACTCTAAAATCAATAAAAGAGGATTTAAACACTATAGAAGCTTCTGATGAGGACAAAAGTGAAAAGCAAAACGCACGGGCCCACTTCATATGTGAACAACTACAAAAACTGCTCAAGTCCAACAGAGAGGATAAAATATCCGCTAATGGTATCCATGCAAAACAAGTTCAGCAGCTGTTCAGATCAATAAAATCAGATGCAAATCACCTGTCCGCTCAGAATGTAATCGAATGTGTCGCAGCATACGTCCAGCTTTCTTTGGCTGTGTGTTGTAATAATGAGGCAGAGAGGAACGATTGTCTCAACCTCGAGGAATACTGCAAGTTTGAGGTGCAGGTAAAAGATAACTTGGATTCCACATCCTTGCAGCATCTGGTGATGCTTTATAACACATTTTTTGAATGCCGGCTGAGGCACCCACAAACTGTTATCTTCTATGCTTGTGAGAAGTTACTAAGAGAAAGGGTACCCAAAGTAACACAACTAGATGAACTTATTTCATTGTGTGAATTGGTGAATGACAGTGACCAAAAACAGCTGTGGGAATCTGTTGAAAATCGTGTCAGTCTGTTCTCAGATAAGATGTCCATTCAGCAGCTAACATCTTGTCTACATTCTCTGGTCAATAGAAAGTCTCCCAGTAAGGCTAGTAGACAACTTCATTCTAAGCTAATCAGTCAGGTTCTTGAACATGAGGCGCCATCCCTCCAAGTCCGTCACCTTTCATTCATTACGTGGACCATGAAGAAAGTTGGCGTGCCTGATGCAGGGGTACTGCAAAAATTGTGCGAAAAAATCATGCAGACGAAATCGAGAAGAAACAATGATAAATCAGGGAACGACACATTGAAGTTGTGTTACCTATTGAGTAACCTGGACAGATTTCAATGGGCCCAAAAAGATGTGTTTGATTTGGTTGTTGCCAGGTTACTGAACTTGCACTCTGCACAATTGGTTGACCCTGTCAGACTGGTTTTGATTAATGCTGCAAATCTCAACATTCGTCTCGCTGAAAGCCAACAACTTATCAAAAGGCATATAACTTCAAAGAAAAAGGTCAAGGATGTATATGAACGCGTTCATTTGCTTTGGGCCTTCTCTGTTATGGGCAAGCAGGGTATGGTTTCTAAAGAAATAGAGGACTTGTTCAATCCTAACTTGCTAAAGTCTGTTGAAGGTAATTATGCATGCTTCCTAGCTAGCAAACATTTAAAAAAAGTAACTTGTGATGTGTTCTTGACTTTTTACCTTTCATTCCAAATTGGGGTCGAGAGGAGGGGGAGGAAAAAGAGACTTGAGAGCATTTTTGTATTTTGAAATGTAGCCCACATGCCAACAGTATGTATGTAGACTTTGCTCAAGTACAGAAAGAAAAGAATTGTTTATAAATACACTTGAATGGACAAAATATTCAAAATTTAACAACTTCAGATGCTAATATAAAAACTTTTTAAAGGTATTCTTTCATCGGTTTGGACAAGGGTGTTTTAAATGATGTGTTTATACCCAATATATATATATGTATATAGCAGTAATGCAATGATAGATATATATATACAATCTAAAAAAGGACTGTCAATCTCAGAGGTCCGCTTGCCTAAGTGAATTTTTACACCTCTGATGATGGGGAAAATTCATAACCTAAAGAAAAGTTTTAAGAGCATTATTAAATATTAAACATGATGCAATATCCTTTGAGAAAAGACTAGAAGATGCATTTCCAATTTTCCAGTACTGTACAGTATGTTCCATTTCAGAGGATAAACCTTTGAAGGTTTTGAAGCTCTTGAAAAATCTGCGTGACATAGCCATGACAGTGGACAAGCCATTGGGCTCCCTCACGTTCTTGTGTGAATTAAAGAGATTGGAAAAACAAAGGGTAAATATTTGCTGTTGCTAATGGTTTCATGATACAGGAAAATTCTACCACAATAATTATGCAGTAGTGTTGTATGGAGAGGCCACAGACCACATTTGGTATGAATCCCTTCATATTGTACAGAAGGAGAACATTTTTTCTCTATTTCCTCTATTGGGCCCTGTCCCTCTGCCCCCAGGGGGGCTACACCCTCCGTTTATACAAACTTAGGCACCTTTGTCCAAAGATGCTCTAGAACAAATTTGGTCAAAATCTTTCTATTGGTTGAGAAGGTTTTTGAAGATTTATCTATTTTCCCCTTATTTGGCTCTGCCCCTCTGTCCCCAGGGGGGCCATTACCTTTAATTTGTTTATACAAAATTGAGAACCCTTAATTGGCCAATGATGCTCCAGACCAAATTTGGTCAAAATCTTTTGAGCCGTTAAAGGACTAGTAGCATTTTGAAGGAAAAAGTAAACGGACAATGGACAACGGACACAGGGCGCCGGAAGCATGCTTAGGGTATACATAAAAAGAATTGATTTGGAATTAATTGAGGTCTACATGTGTGTGCCTTCTTTTTTTGGTGCAGAAGGTAGGGACCCATAAAGGGAAATAGAGGAAACGATTAAAGATTGTTCTCCTTTTGTACTGATGAAGGGATATTAACCAAACTTGTTCTAGATCATCTTTGGCAAAAGGGAATTTAATTTGTATTACTAGAGGATGTGGTCCCCCTGAGGGGCAGAGGGGCAGGGCTAAATAGGGCGAAAATAGGTAAATATTGAAAAATCCTCCCCATTTTAACCAATAGAAGTATTTCGACCAAATTTGTTCTAGAGCATCTTTGAACAAAGGAGCCTGAAGTTTGTATAACAGAGGGTGTGGCCCCGCTTGGGGCAGAGGGGCCGGGCCCAATAGGGGAAATAGAAAAAAACATTTCCCCTTTTGTACAAATTGAGGGATTTAATCCAAATGTGGTCTGAAGCATGCGTAGAGTAAAAAGACGCAATTTGTATAAATTGAGGCTGTGGCCCCCCTTTTCGGCAGAAGGGTGCATCTGAGGCCCATAAGGGGAAAGAGAGGAAAAAAATAAAAATCATTTTCCTTTTTTACCAATAAAGGGATTAGGGGATTCAATTTTGTTTTATACAGAGCATGTGTTAATTTGCCAATTGTACACGTGTATTATGAAAATTATGAATTGCCTCCTAGCTGTTTTGAACCATAAATACATGATGTGGATTTGCTAGTATGGTTAGTGTTTAAAATTGAAAAGCAGTCGGCACTGGCTATGAATTGAAGGAGTGTATTAACTATTTGTTACGTTAAAAAAAGCATAAAAAAATGAACGGGCCTCTCTTTAGCTAAAATGAAAAAATTGTGATTAGTTTCATCAATTTTATATGAAATGAAATGAGTGTAAGATCCTTTTGATCACATAGTCAAGATTTGTGGCATTTATTTGTATAAAACGACAAATTTCATGAAGCCTTGAAATGTAAAATGCCACCATTTTGACTCCAGTGCGTAAGTCTGTGATGTACTTGTCCTAGGCTTGACATCACAATTGAACCAATTGAAACTTACAACCAATCACAGGGCTTGTTTCATAATTGTTATAAAATAAATGAAGTTTATATTTATTTAAATTAAAACCAGGTAATGGATTAGGATCAATGTGCTGCTAGTAAAAAAGTTGTTTTTCTATTTTTCAGAAAAGTAGCAATTTTGAGAATGGTGTCTATCATATTATTGAAAACAACCTTCCAGAGGGTTCTTACTGCAAAAATGTTATAACCCCAGCAGGACACAAAATAGGTTTGTCATTTCTTTACACTTGTGTGTTGATTATAGATATTAATATATATAAATTATCTCCCTTTGGCAAATATCATCAGCAGTAGGATACAGGTCACATGTGATGTGGAATTTGTAAAATTTCAGGATTTATACAATTGGTTTGTGTAAAATCCTTTTTGCGTTTATTGTTTCATGTCTTGTCTGTTTGCTATAAATCTAGTTATAATAAATGTTATGTATACAGATTAGGAGATATACGAATGCATCATATTTTGTAGAATGCTCTTTTGATTTAGATAATAAAAATTACAAATTGAAAAAGAAAGATAATTTAGAAAAAATGATTTCCAATGGCCATTGCAAATGTTGCCTTAAAATTTATTTAAAACTTTGATCCAGTGGCACAAAAAAAGGATAAAAAAGTTCAGCTGCTTTCTTGTAGATATTCCATAGGAAACAGACTTTAATACTTTTGGTGCTATTCTAGATGTTCATTAGGACTCTTCTGGTGATTCCATAAATAAGGACTGTTGGGATCAAATAAATGACCAAGAGTAATAGAGATATTGTTCAGGTTTTACCGTTAGTTTAGAGATATAAATGTAATTGCTGTCTGTGCACCGGCCCTAGAAAGAATAGGCTTATATCGGGTAAGATTAAGTGCAGACCTATCGGGGTTGGAGATGCTGAACTGTATTTCTTGCCTAGCTGCACATGATAATTAGTTTAACGCGTCTGTCTCAGATCAGTCCTTTGAGCTAGCTATATAGGCACACGTCTATAAGGTAACCCTTGCGGACTAATACAAGATTTTAAACAACGATTGGTGTTGATAATTTGAATCCTAGAGACTCTGAGGGTAACAAGAATTAATGGTAAAATGTTATTAAGGTAATAGGATTGTGTCACCATTTCTCAGTAGAATTTCTTCAAATTTTGTAGTTATATTGCTTTAAAGTAAAGAAATTTTTCTGCCGCAAAAGACATATAGGTTGTCAGAATTTTAAGGATTTTAAATGGAAATTTATGTAGAAAGGAGTGAATTTTGAAAAAAAAATGAAAGACACAATATTTTTAGAAAATAATGTCAATAAAAATGATACTGACATATATTAGTATTGCATTAATGTATATCAATTTAATAAATGCTGAAATTGTGTAAAATTAATTCTCTATACACGATATAAAAATTGACATTTTATAATAAAACCATATACACATAGTAATTGCAGGTAAGAGTTATCGTTCTTGAAAAACTTCACAGTAGTGAAATAGGTAGCCGGTTTCCTGAAGTACAGAAAAATGGACACATGTGACTCATTGATAATAAAAAAAAAACCTGATTAATGCCTGGATTGCTTTGAAATACTTTAATATTGAGAGAACACACTGTTCAGTCAATAATAAACATACAATATTCATCAGTTTAATATTAAACATTAGAATCTGCAGAAATTGTGATACTGTCTCCCTACATTGGATTTCAACTAGGAATGTACTTCCTGTTTCCGTTTATCGATACACTCCAATGACCTTAAGTGGAAAATGTGACTTTTTATTTTACGTACAGTATTTCTTTTGCTGTTTTAGATATTGAACTGTATGTAAATGACAGGGGTGAAGCTGTAGCAATGAAAGACCAGACGACCGGCATACACAGGTACATTACCAACAAACAATACATACTACTTGTTGGATATAAGTTGGGTTTTAGTTGTAAGCCTATCTGAATATTAAGAAACACACACCTATTCAGATTTTCCAAGGCCCTACGTGAATGTTTCAAAAAAGTGATTGATAGCAAATAAGCATTCACATTGTGTAAATATAATAGAGTTACTCAATCTAATGTCAAGGTAATAAAACTGAAATCAGATTTCAAAGAGATTTTTGTCATGTCTACAGCATATTTTTTTTAATTAAATGGGGGGAAAAAACATAAACAATACATGGTGGTACCTAAGGAACTTTCACTTCAAGTTTAAGGTCACAAATTGAGGTCAAAGTTCAGCCCATAAGTACAGGTACTTGGACCATCATTAGGCTATGTGCCAATAGTAGTTATAAGATCCAAGCTTCAATGTCAAGATCAGCAAGGTAAAGGGTTAACTATATTTTCGCAGCACATCAATGTTATTTCTCCCACACTTTATAGGGGCACATTCACATATCCGGTTGAAACGGTTGAACCTGCAAAGTAAACGACAGGTACAGATCTGTTCCTTCCGAGGCTGACCGCAGGAAAATTTTGGCACGTGTAGATTAAGGGGTACAGACGTACCTGACCGAAACTAAAATGCTGACGATTGCTAGTTTGCATTATTTCTTTCTAAAACAATGTCAAGCCACATGTAGTTTTTAGGTCACCTGAGCTTTAGCTCAAGTGACCTATTGCTATCCGTTTTCGTCCGTCGTCGTCCGTCGTACGTCGTCCGTCGTCCGTCGTCCGTTAACATTTTACATTTCAAACTTAAAGTCAAGTTCTGCTGGGCCGATTGAACTGAAAGTTGATAGGAATGATCGCCTCATGGTCCTGACAAAGTGTTGTTATTTTTCGGGTCGATCAGAAATCCAATATGGCCGCCACGGCCGCCATTTTGAAAACCTATTTCAAACTTAAAGTCAAGTTCTGCTGGACCGATTGAACTGAAAGTTGGTAGGAATGATCGCCTCATGGTCCTGACAAAGTGTTGTTATTTTTCGGGTCAATCAGAAATACAATTTGGCTGCCATGGCCGCTATTTTGCTACTAAGTTCTAATAGGCCGATCTCACTTAAAATTGGTCTAGGAATGATCAGCTCATGGTCCTGACAAAGTTAAGTTAACATTATACTATTTTTTACTCAAATTGGTACATATTTCAACAACAAAAATAAATACTATAGACTCAGGTGACCGTTAAGGCCCATGGGCCTCTTGTTAAGATACGTAATGTAATCCAGTCGACGCATAAAAGGACATACTATTCGGGATACATTATTTCAACCGGGATACGCGAATGTAGCCTAAGCTCATTACTGTTAAACCTTCATAGGGATTTACATGTGAATATCCCGAAAACAAAGCAGAATGATGAAACACGAGCATTAATGATCAAAGTATTTAGTTTTAAAAGATAAGTTGGTCACCATTTGAGCAACTAGTAATGCTTATACAAAGGGAGACAACTCAATATTGAAGCAATATACAAAGGGAGACAACTCAAATGAAATTCAGTTTGTTTTCTCCTTTCACCACCTTCTGGAGATAGTTTCCAACGTTTCGGAGTAATACAGTACAGATATTGTTTCTTCTCCTACGTTTCCATATTTTCTCCATACATTTAGATACAGTAATGTCTCAAAAGGATTTTAAGCATGTTAAATTGGCACGGGATGGGATGGGCATATATTGTTCCGTCCTGCAGTACTCTTTGTTTGATATTCATTCTTGTAAATTCTAAAAATGAACCTGTATTCAACAAATTTGTAAGTACATTGTATTGATATTATAAACCTTATTCTCCATATGGCCGAGTTGGATGTTTAATATAAGCTTTCTAATACTATCATGATACCAGCATCATATACATTTGTATGACTTTACAGGATTGCACTGAAAACAAGGGGATATTTTACTATGTCCAAGCCGAACAACCTTCCCTTAGGCTGGGTAATGATGGAGAACAGAAACCTTGTCAAAGAAGGCTACACATTATTAGAGGTAAAGCGGTCAAGGTCTTCATCTGTTACATTTGCACTAGTGAAATATTGGACCTGCCAACCCCTGTATGAGCTGCATATATATAAGAATCCCATAATCACACACTTCCTGAACCTATCTAAAAAGAAATATCCTTCCTCTATGAGAGATTTTTTTTCTCAAAGCTCTTTTACCCCTGTCTATGGTTTGTTTAATTTTGCTTAACATCCTCTTAAAATTATTGAGATCCCCACCCCAATAACCATACATACAACTGCAAAGCACAAAGCGACATGTAATAAATGATATTAGAATTGACTCTGGGGTCGAGCAACACCCCTAGGGACTTGGTTCTTAGTCATAACTTTGAAACTGTTGAGATTCCCATTCTTTAGCCATATATATGTAGTTGCTGGGCATAAAGAGATGAATACAGTCATGATATAAGAATTGAATCTGTGGTCTGGCCACATCCTTTGGGACTTATGTCAATGGGTCATAATCTCTAGCCCTTAACCCTTTAAGTACACATGTGTTGGCAGGATTGGCACAGGGGGCTTGCCCTATCCTTAAAATTTGTTTCTGCCATACTGTCATTGAAGATTTTTTGCCATGATATCTTATGACCTGTTGAGTGATACGGGCCCTCTGGGTCTCTTGTTATTTGAATGGGTTGTAAGTGTAGATCTTGAAAATTAATTTGATGATCTGTTTAGTATATTAATTTTTTAATTTTAAAGACTTATCAAAATGATTATAAAGGTTAAAAAAAAGCCTGACATCCTGAATGATTTATTTTACGGTTTTAATAGAAAATTAATATCACAATTTTATTTTTTTCAGATTCCACACTATGAGTGGTTGAAGCATAGCACATCAGAAACCCGGCTTGTCTTCATTAATGAAAGAATAAAGGAAGCTGTCCAGTCCAAAACACAGACAGATACTTCTAGAAAGAGAGTGTTTTAAGTCAAAAATTAGTTCAAAAGAGTGGCTTTCGATTCCTAAGCTTAAATACAGGAAATGTAGCTGTCAGGGTTTAAAAAACGAATAGGTTAATTGTTAGTTATTTTATATCTTGTAAAGCCATAAATCTGGATATTTTTACGAAGGTAAATTTCTCGAAAATAACTTTATTTTTATTTTTACTGATCTCCTTTTTACGATATTTGGACTATACACAAACACATGACTGCCGTAAAATTGACATGTTGACCCACGGTCTAAAATTTGTAAAACGTACTAGTCATGAAATGACATATTCCACCAGCATCAGACTACTCTATTGTAAGCAATTCAAAAAAGGTAGAAAGGTACACTCACGAGTATGAGTAGATATTGATGCTGACTCCCCCCCCCCCCTTCTAATAGAATCTCCTTTGGTGAATAGGACTTGACAATTTTAGAGGTAATCCACCCTACACTACAACAATAGACCCTTCTAGAGTTTCACTGCAGGCTAAGACCTTGCCAGCTTTTGTAAACACATTCATTGTAAGCTGGCATTTTAAATGTTCAAGATAATTTTGGTTTATGTGTTACAGTCCTTCAATTTGTACATGTTAGAAAGCAAAAATGTAACCACCATAAATCTATTCAGATTTAAGGCACCTACTGGAGTAAAAGTGTTTAGTTATAGGGGCCCTGGGGTCTGAAAATGGTCGTAACCTGGGTTAAATGCTTAGCATGATTTATAATTTTGTGTACAAACAATCTTCTCGGGTCTGCAATTGTTAGGATGTTGATATTTTATATAAAGTCTGGCAGATAAATATACAATATGTATAATTGCTGAATTCAGGAACATACCATGACCAAAGGGGATTGAATTTGATAAAATCAGTACGTTTAATGGGCTAAGGACACCTGTAGGATTTCAACAGGTACCGGTATATGTATACTATACAGTCAATACTGTTATACCTGTACCATGTAAGGAACAAAAGTGGTCATGCTGAAGGCTTAAGGTTCAACAGGTTGAAGATATTCTAACAAATGCAATTGACAGAGCTGGCAATTAATAGAATGAACACATATTCAGCATGAAAGACAAAAATAGCAACAAATGAGAAAACAACAAGGGGCTATTTCATTCATTGTGACGTTAGAATGGCCTATTTTTGTTTAGATTTTTCGACTCCTGGAACCAAGGAAATGATGCACTCCCTAGATGCGCTCTGTTCAATTTAAGATACATGTATAGTGTTAGTTTTAATATTTCAAGTGTAAAGTGCTGAAAAGGAGGTGAGTGTTGCATAAATGGGTGAACTAAAAAGGGTTCTTGCATTTAAAGTCACTTTGTTTTTGTTAAGAGATATTTGCATGAATTCATAAGGGAATCATTATGCAAAGTCTATTTTTCATAGATTTATATTAATTTCATAGATAATTACTATCAATATTTAAGGATTAATTTGAATATATTTTTCATGTTATGGAGATATAACACAAAAAACCGGATTGTACTCTAAATAAAACCGCGAAGCGGTTTATGATGAGAGTACACTCCGGTTCTTTGTCATAGCTCCATAACATGAAAAATAGATTCAAGTTAATCCTTATAATTTAATCTACTTTACACAATCCCTGTGGAAATCCACTTTCATTGATGGACTCTTTTCTATTAGAAATTATTGCGCTGCTGTATCAGCCAATCAAAAGCGACGTTACAAACGGCCACGTCATTTTTTACTTTTTGGGCTGATAACATAAATTTTTAAGCCAATGAAAATGCTTGTTACAAGCAAGATTAAATTATTGAAAATTGTGAATAGAATATTCACTTTTGAAAATTGAAACCCGTATTGTACTTGAAATAAGTAAAAAAAATAAAATAGAGTAATATTGTTTATTTGCAGTTTTAAAACCTTTCACTGATAGGTAATATGAATGTTTTGACCAGATATTTTATTAAGGTACTTATTTAGTTTGAAAAAATAGCACTGCTATTTTATGGTCATCTCAAAAGTAAATATCTTCATAATTTCAATGTTTCATCTTTTGAGTCCAATTTCAGGTTTAGACCAAATTGAGTATCACCATGCTATAAATAGATGATTGGCTTGTGACCATCTGCTATAAATAGATGAGTGACATCACTACATGTTCGATGCAGTGTTGAATCACTTTGTGACAGATCATTAATTCAACTCTAATTGACGTTAATGTCAACTTTGTGCAAACTTTTAAAAAAACTTGATAAAACAAGGAAGTGTTTAGAATGTTTTCAGTCGACTTGCAAAAGGAATGTGTTTTTGTATGAAAACTCAAGTTGTTTTTTCTTAATTCTGAAGTGCTCTATATCTTTATTTTAAATTATAATGAAATAACACAACAGCTGGAGGTACATGCTTTTGTATGGGTTAATCGCCACTGTTGTTAAGAAAATAAATTGAATTGAATTATTTCTCATCTGTGTCTTTCTTTCTAAAAGCTGAAGGCCATGGTAAACATGTTACTTCAATTACTGGATATTTCAGGGAGGGAGGCAGTGCAAAATCTCGACTGTTACCAACCTTAATACAGTTATTTTATAAATAAAAGTTGTAAACGGGACAAGATCATCTACATTGTATTTTCATTATTAGCTCACCTACCCGAGGTGCTAGGGAGCTTATGCCATGCTTCGTCTTCTGTCCGTCGTTCGTACAGCTCGGTCATCTGTCAACTTTTTCTTTGAATGACTTCTTCTGAAAAATGGACATGCCTAGAGTCATGATATTTGGGTGGTTGGTAAAAGTCGAACAAACTTTGAGAACGAAAATGACCTTGACCTACTTTTAAGGTCACAGGGGTCAAAAGTGTCAAATACTTGAAACGACTTCTTCTGAAGAACTGCAAGGTATAGAATCTTAATATGTAGCTGGTTACGTTGTTGGTAAAAGCCCAACAAAATTTCAGAACGAAAATGACCTCAACCTGCTTTCAAGGTCACAACGCCAAATATGTCAAACACTTCAATTTGCTTCTTCTGAATAATCTAAAGGCATAGAATAATAATATTTGGCTGGTAAGTGTAACAGAGAGGGCCCGACAAAGTTGGCTATTGAAAATTACCTCAACCTACTTTCAAGGTCACAGGGGTCAAATATAGCAAAAACTGCAAACAGCTTCTCTTAACCTAAAACCAGTAAAATAGTTGGAACTTTCAACGTTGTAGAGATAGCCTATACAAATATACTGTGAACGACTGTATATATATGCTATATCTTGAATATAGGCCCTTTATTCCGATCATATAGGTATTACTTTGATATCCTGTATCAATGTTCATGAATTCAACATGCAGTATCAGCATTAGAACATGTCAATTAACAAACGCTTGATAAAAGTTAGAATCATTACCCAAGTCTTGTATCGACCCCTATCTTCAACTGCCCAGGCATTAACTGGAACAGCCTATCTTAGGAGGGAGTGTCACAGATCGAAATACTCTAAGCTCTACATATTTCTTAAGGGCGTTCCAATATGGCTGCCACACCAAACTGTATATCAAATTCAATAATGCATTCCGTTAGCATTAAACAATCCCTGTCACAAAATAATCCTCCTCCAATATTTCTCAAACATAATTGAGGTACATGCACACTAAATTTCAGAAATAATATTCAATAACTAATGAAAAAAAATCACTTTTTATGTGTTCATTTTCCAAGCTGAATATAAGTCACAATTCAGGAAAAAAACCCATTTAAACTGTCGAGAAAAATGTAAGAAAATTTGTCAAATCTCCAGAATGATGACATATATTTCTCCTGAATAAATCACAACTGAGCACAAAGCGAACAAGACTGAGGGAGGTTGGAAAAAAGCATGCAAAGCAAGTAAGATTTTGCCTGTACATCATTCACTACAGGTTCTCACTCGGGTAATATGGCTTGACTTGTATCAAAAGTCTTGTTAGCTTGATGAATTATTGTAAAATATCCATTCAAAATACATGTCATCATTCTCGAGATTTGAAGCATTTTCTTACACTTTTCTCGACAAATAGATCTAGTTCCAACTAGTGCAATATTAAATATTTTTAGAACTTTAGATTTTTGCACTGTTATTTGTTCGACAAAAATACTCGGAAAAAAATCACTATAAATCGTCTCCAAAATCACCATTTTCATTTTTTTCCTGGAAATATTGCGTTCAGTGGTTTTCAATTGTTGAATTGTTCAAAAATATACCCTTTAATTGCAAATTTTATGCTTCAGTGTGCTTGTTCAAGTACTTTATTTGAAATGAGTGGTGGTAGCCATTTTGTCATTCGGAAGTACCTTAAATGACCTTAGGTCTTGCACAAGTCCATGTCTACATACAGAATCAAGATTGATGTTTTTTGCAGCAACTCCTTCTTCGTCAAGATGTCGCCGTCTGCTCCTGGATGAGCTATCACGCTATGCTACTCATATATTTGCATTATGTCTAGACACAAACCATAGAAGCTAATTAGGAACATGTCATCATTGCAAATCGTCAGTGTTTCTTTAACACTGTCTCATCCATTAGAATCCAGAAATAATCAGACTTCATTAAAAACTGTAGGACTTCATAAAACACTGCATGTCCAGAGTCGTTTTAAAAAAAGTTTTTCCTCCAACTAATGTGCTAACCAAGACCTCCCCCTTTGGGATCGGTTTTCCCCCTACTGCTTTGGGAATATTAGGAAACCACAATGGTGCTGCCGTATCGCAACATTTGGTAACACCTCTGTCCTTTCTTGTTTTTCCTACCCACTTTCATCTTTTACTCAGTGGAGTCGTCTCCCCGGGTAACCGTCTTGATTCGACCTCAGCTGTTTCGTTAAAGTCCAAACAAAACACAAAACCTTTAAAATAGGAAAACAACCATGTTCACTATCACACGTCTCGTCCAGTAAATCTAAAGCTTCCTCTTTGATAGTGTTAACTCCATGTACATATCTAACTCTCCTACTGAGAACCCTTCCAATCCTTTGTAGAACAAAGATCTTCGTATACAGGGTTTTGTGGTCATAACTTCGTCCAGTGCTTCTTCTTCGTCATATAATGTTTATCTCAAAAACAAATGTGTGGGCATTAGAGAAAAAGGAAATCCTCTGCACGTAATAGCAGTCTCTTCCACGTTTGGTGCATGGTCCCAAACCTTACCGATGTCTTGAAAGGAGAAATAAATTGAAAGTGTCCGAACAAAGTATTGAGGCTTTTTCATTTGTGTTTTTAGATTTTTTGTAGCTTAATTTTGTTAAGTCTATCGTATGCCTTGAGTGCACTGTCGAAACTTGATAACGCATCGACAATTGTCGTTTACACTGGACATCGTATACGACAATTGTCGTTTACACTGGACGTCGTATACGACAATTGTCGTTTACACTGGACGTCGTATACGACATGAATACATTAACTTAAATAGGAGGCACGATAGTCTAGTGGTAGGACGCCGGGCTTTGTGACCGAACGGTTGCGGGTTCGAGTCACGGCACGGTACTGCGTTGTATCTTTGAACAATATACTTTACTCCGCTTGTGCCAGTCTACACAGCTGTAAATGAGAACGTGGTTAGGTAGTGCTAGAATTGTTGAATGCTAGCTGTATAATGTAGCTGTGAGCGCCGAAATAGCAGCACCGGCTGTATGCTCCCCAGGGAGTTAAAAAAGATATTGGATGCTTGCAAAGGCCCTATAACCACGGATACTAATTTGTGAACCGCTTTGAGAGACCTACGAACTAGGTTGTGATAAAGCGGTATATAAGAACCTCGAATTGTTACTATTATTAACTCCTCTTAAAAAGATTTAAACAAAATAAGATAAATTGCAATGCATATAAAATTGATTTTTACGATGCAAAGATTAGAATGTAAGTAATAGTTTTTCAATGTGAATCAACCTTATAGAGAAATGGTCATCTGGGCAATGAATCGTTGTATTATTCCGAAATAAATGAACATTGTTTGATTAAATTTACATTTTTGAATAAGGAATGCATGTTTTCGGTAGCACAGTGTACAATTCATAATGCATAATGTCACATTTCGGTTAATGTAACTGTTTTCCTGAATCACATTATCGCTCTATGTATAACATTTAACTTGGTCAGTTTACTCGTAATATACATACATCTAACTTACTACTAATAACCTTAAATTTCTTAGAATAAATTATGTTAATACAAGTTTTGCTTAATATCACATTGCTTTATATCACATTGCTTTATCTCATGTTCTGTCTGACACACCGTATTATATTACAAGGACTGAAATGCATGATGAATAGGTTTTAACTTTCATCTGAAATATGCAAAACGCCACACGTTGCATATTGATAACACGACTTTGAGCAAAAGGGATTATTTATCACGACTCTAGATCATTGGTCTATATTATCAGGATTTAAATATTCTGTCGTATTTACTTTATTGTTCTTTCAATATTGATGGTGTAAACAATCTTCTACTAAATATGTCTAACGTG